GAATCTCGAGCTTATGCAACAACGATGTTCTATGCCATGACAGCTGGGCTTGTTGTCAATGTCAATTGTCAATGTCAGTGTCAATTCTTGCAAGGCGCGGCCAGCTGCCGGTCCAAACTGGCTGTATGTACGTAGGACGGGAGTTTCCCCACAAAGACGACATGTGAAGTTTTTCGTATGCCTGCTTTCGAGTTGGCTTGCCAGCAACGGTCAAAGCACATGCATGGAGCCTGTTCACACTTTTCAACGGCCTGCTTGCAGAGATACGCTTTAGCCGCCTCTAGCCGGCCTTAGTGGTAGTACGTAGCTAGCGCCGCAAACTCAACACTTACTAGTAGTGCCTGCCAATCAGCTGGACGCTGACCATGGCACCATGGGAGGTGAAGTTGAAGCTTTCGTCAATCGACCACTGCGATCATGGCAGTCCATAATACCATCACGATGATGCCCTGTGCCGCAGTGCGGATGCACGCTCCATCGGCACAGACTTTGAGGTGCTGTGTTCGACGATAAGCACCCGGGGGACGGGCGGGGTTAGTTAATGGGTTAGGGTGAGCCTCCGAGCTGCGGAGCGCGTAACCATTTCGGGTTGGAGTTCTTCGTTAAGGTGCCCCGGGCTCCTATATAGTGTCGGTCGGACCGTCGGACTCGGAGTCGGTCGTGACCAGGGGTTCTGGCGCCGTGCAGATCGCCGTGCATAGCACGGCCGGGGGAATCTCTGCACGGCCGGGCGAAGCCCGCCGTGCAGATTGCCGTGCAGGCCCGGTGCCCTTGTTCCGGCCAGTTGTTCCGCTGGCCGGGCACTCTCCGTCGATCCTACTCAAGAGTCTCGGAACACCTGATTCGAGTAGATATATTCAGGGCACGTTTGTCCGGCTATATTAGACTACTCCGACCCGGCCCGGCTCTACAAAACCTCAACCCCCTTGAATCACTTCGGCAACTATATTTTCGTGTGTGGCGGTCGATGGAATATTTTGAACGGTTTGGATCTTTTGTAAAGATTAAAATGCTTCGACGCAGACATTTTCCTTGGGAGCTTGAAGGAAACCTGGAGTCGGATGGACCCTCGATGTAGCATCATCAACGTCGTATACGGTTTGATATCGGTCATATGGTGCGGAAACGCCCAAATATCAATGTCAGCCGCAGCTTGAGAATAGCAGGCCGTAAATGGTTTGCAGCGTAAGGGGGGAAAAGCCCGGGCAGAGTCATCGGCTCGGGGCTCTCAGCTGCACGGCCGGAAACAAATTGCTAGAACCCCTGGGACTCGTGACTCGTGACTTGAGGTAATTAAGGCGGGTCCGAGTAACGTACGACGGGGCGTCAGGGTATAAAACCCCAACTTGCCAGCCTAAAGCAGGAGTCGGCCAAGTCACAGTAGCTCAAGTGGATAGCGCGCTCGCCTGAGCTCGGCTGAATCGGCCGAGGTCCTGAGTTCGATTCGCAGAGGTCCAACTTTTTCGAGGTTTTCTTCTTCCTTGTTGCAACACCAAGCTATTAGGGCAGGCTTTTGGGGGCATACCGGGCAAGTGATTTGGCCCGAGAAACGCGATCTAACGGTCAAATATTGTGTCACTAGAACTTGGGCTCATCTGACGGCGTATGTTGTACCCTATTTGCAGTGTACCGGGCATAGTCTTTCATGACGTCATGGTTTTCTGGCGGTACCTCTAACTCTAGAAGTACCGTACCAGATATATGCGGTACGCTGACGCTTGCTTATGTCACAGCTCATCGATACCGTCCGATGGAGGTCCGATCGATTGAGCCGATGGGATCTGCAGCGTCCGATCAGATTCGGTCAATTTGGGACCCGCGGGTCCCACGCCCACTTTAATTGCATCATGCACCTTGCTCACGTGGCCAGCTCTGATCCTGTCTACTACCCCCGGGCCGCGTTCAGAAGTTTCGAGTGGTCAAGTCTGAAGATCGAGTCAAACCCTGTGGACAACCAGCTACCTGGTGTTGGTTTTGAAATTTGAACCTAGCAGGGTAGTCCTGACTCCTAAGATCGAGTCAAACCCTGTGGACAACCAGCTATATACTAGGTACATTCGAACCTAGCAGGGTAGTCCTACCTGACAGCTGAAAACTGTCAGCAATATTGCTCGAAAGTTGCAGCGATGCGCACTTGTAATAGCCTTGAGCAGCATGGCCACTTCAGAACGAGAAAGCGACACTTTGCAATTGTTTGAGCATACCGCTGGTGATGTCCTAGAAGACGAATTTAATGAAGAGCGCCAGGCAGGGCACCGGAGGCAAGAGGTCAGAAGTGACTTTTCGGCTCGGCGTGCAGGCCGCCTCTGCACCACCTTTGCGACCGTCGCGAGCTCAGGCTCATCAACAACAAGATTCCCCTTTATCAGGTTCCCAGAAGAGCATTGCAGCACTTATATCGATTTGATTGCCACTTGAATACTTTCAGCAGCTCACGTCGTGTCTTTCCAGCTCGTTCAGCTCAGCATGGCACTACTCAGGTCTGCGGGGCATCTCAGCAGGCCGCAGTCAAGTACCTCAGGTTCCACCCTTTCTATACCAGCAGCGGAGAAGAACAGGCATGCTCTCTCCGGTTTGGTACTGGCTCCTTCACTTATAGCTCTTCACAAGTACAGTTGTCAAGTTTCACCTGCGTCGGGCTCTGTTTGCAAGGAAGGAGTACGGAGGCAATGCAGGCAGCCCAGCACTCGTGTTGGGCATCCCGTTCGAGCTACGACCATCAACAGTAAACCAGCTCCAATGGTGGCAGAGAAATGGGTAAGAGCCTCTCAACGATCTTGCAAGCTACAGCCATGCACCACTTCGCGTACTACACGCCAACAAATGAAGTAGTACTTGTGCCCTGCTTGTTTGTTCTGATTTGACTGCACCACTGGAGGGACTGCGTTTCAATCGGGTGAATGAGCAGCCAGCTTGGTACAGAGCTGTTCTTATTAGGTGCTGAAGTTGGCTACCGTAACCCTATCGATGGCTGGAGTTGTTATCGTTACATGGACGGCCAAGTACTCTTCCATCTTGCTTAAGCATGTCATCATTAACAGCTGGCAAACTGCACACATCTTAATTCTAGAAAAAGAGTTACCTCGATCTATTACTTTGCTGATGAGGCCGAATACAGTCTAATTCTGCTATGCTCATATAAAGAGGGGGCCAGGGCTTGAGGCCATTAGGGAACAGGAGAAACTCTCCATGTGCAACCCATATATGCTGGTTCAGTTTGCTCTCGTTCTACAGACTTGCTTTCGGAATAAGTCCGAAATTGAAGGATCTTCCTGCAGATGCCCTGTTTATATTTATCGGCATGAATCGGCATTTGAAGAGGGGAATTTATAAATGAACATGCCCCCCGTTGCTGCTCGGATGATAGTTCACTGATAAGGGGCTTGAGAGGACTTTAAAGGACTGTAAAGGCCTTTTTAGGGTGGGAAGTTGTGGACCGTCAGGCAAAAGTCTCACCAGACTATCTGACCAGTGCCAGTACGAAAAATGGGAGTACCTTTAGTTGACTGACTGATCACTCTCAACCTCTCCTTCATCTGTTCGATTCGGAACCTCTTTCCTTGATCGTCTCACTTGGCTCTTCCCGGACTTCTGCAGAGCCTTAGCCCGGCCTTTGTTGTCAAGCAGCCCAGCTTCGCAGAGTCGCTGGCACATGACATTGAGCTCCTTCCTGCTAGCGTTGCACAGCACCCCGTGTTTGGCGCCTGCGATAGCCCCCAGATGGTAGCGCTCCTTGTGCGTAGCCTCGAGCATAGCACGTGCTGCTTCCCATCCTATCTTGCTTTTGGCGCTGGTAAGCTTTTTTCGTCCAGTATCGATGATACTGAACAATGTAAGCAAAAAGATGTTTAAGTCATCCTGTGGGTGCATGTACTGTATGTGAACTTGGTTTCGTTTCCGAACTTTCTTTGAACGCATTTGAGTCCAGCTAGTCCAGCATGTCCAGCTAGTCCAGCTAGTCCAGCATGTCTCAGAGTAACAAAGTATAATTGTTTAGCCAGCAGAGAATCCCAGGCCCTGCCTCATTTTTCTGCTGGCCATTCATGCTCACTTTACGTGACGATCTCAGAATATGGCAATCAATCCCTCAAAGCGGGCTCAAAGCCAACCCTGCTTTTCTCCAATCTCCCACTACGAACAAACCGTGGGTTATTCAGCCTGGGTGCTCAAAAGCCTGGGTGCTCAAAACCCACTGTCGTACCCCGATTCCCACGCACCCCAAGCAACTGCCAAGCACTCTTCCCCGCCTGATTCCCCACCGTTGATTGTCACGTGCAGTTCGCAGCAAAGGGCGACTCTTGGCTGGCAAACGCTGACTAGAGTGTTCTCAGCCTTGCGCGGTCCCGACTCGCAACTTAGCTGACTTGCGACTCTTGTTTATGCCTCTGTAGTTCACGCGCCGAATGACGAGATCCGTTCCACCATCATCAGTCAGCTGAACGACGAGTTGGGAAACGGCAGATGGGCAGAGGACGGCCACGCTAACCTCCTGAAAACAATGGTTAACGGGCTTAACCGGGAGCTTGGGGAGCTTGTTCCCCAGGACGTCCTGACTGCGCCGGGTTCTCCGGCTCACACTTTGAAGAAAGTTTTCGACCAGGGTTATCTAAACCCGGACAACCTGCGGATGCTGGGGGCGTTCATGGTCGCTGAGGCTTTGGCAAAGCACTTTGACATCGCGCTCCTCGGGGTGGGTTACGGTTCCGGTTAACGTGGGTCAAGCGGGCGGCCTCGACTAGAGGGCAGCGCTTCTTAATAGGCTTCGGTCGATGCTTTCGGCCGAGCTTCCAATGGTCACTGGCGCATCAAGTTTGAACGGGCATCGTGTCGAACTGATGCACCGTTCCTTCACGAACCGCAATTCGAATAGACCTTCAGAGCCAACGCATGAAATCTAGGAGCATTGTGCAGGATGCATCAAAAGTTTTGACCATCTCGGCCTCAGCTTGCGTTGATTCGTCTAACACAAGCCATGTTCTCTCGTTTTGCAGGCCATCAATCGCCACGTGGCGAACGGCTCCCTCCACCTGTCCCCGAACGAGCTCCGGTGGATCCGCCTGCACGCTGAACTAGAGGTGGAGCACGAGGGCGAGGTGCTGGCAATGTGCCGCTCGCTGAAGGAGCTGGACGGGCGCGCAGTTCAGCGCGTGCGCGCGGGCGCGGAGGACTTTTTCAGGGGCTTCTGCGCGTTCTTGGATGCCCTGTGCAAGAGTTACGCGCATTCCGTGTAGAGTGAACAAGTTTTGCACCTCTCAGGAATGGGTCAGGCTACTAACCGAGAAATAACTGTGTACATATACGACGGTACAACCACGATGACAATATATTTGTCAAGATGCGAGAGAAAGACTCGTGTCAGTTGATGAGACTACAGCAGATCAGGATTGCGAATGACACGAGGTAATTAGATATACTCACTCGTTAAATAGCAGATTGACGTACAAACATGAATTGCTACTAGCCGCCACGTACAAAGTACAGAACCGACCCGGCTTTGCTCATCGTGTGCAAATTTACTCAGCATCCTGGCCTCGAGAATCCTCATGCACATGATAGAGGGAGGCCCGGCTTGCAACTTAAGCGTTCTATCAGGGTTCGTGCATTTTGACGGTGCGCATAGATCAATAGCTCTATATACAATGCTTCGAGTTCTGTAATCTAATTATATCATAGTATCGACCGATCAGCAGAAATACCGGTATCCAAACGATTTTAGTACGTAGTAGGTCCCGCACCGCCGCGCTCCAGCCCGGCCAATTTCTGTAGTACTCGAAGCTACCGATATATTGCACTGACACATGGAACCTTTGCCAACATATTAGATTTAGATTTAGTTGATTTAACGTCGGTTCGGAGCCGTGGTCGGCTAAGTCGACGAATGTCTCTATTTACTAACTCTGCACTAAACTCGCTCTTAATGCAAAGCTTAAGTGCAAATACTTTCCTATCACGTAAGTATCTTGTAGACTAAGGAACGTTCTCAAGTTTATCTCTCCATATAGAGATGCTGTTATCGGACCATGGTTTCGCTAACTAGAAGACATCGATAATAAAATGGCTGCAAGGCCGATGGTAAAATAGCAGTGTAGCAATAGGGATGTAGGTCTTCAAGTAGATAGCTCGTCGAATTCAAGGCCCGGACTCATCGAACATCGTTTTCAGCGTTCCAGGTCCATGGCTTAACCGCTACGGCCTTATATAAAAGAAGTATGTATGTATGTATGTATGGCAAGCTGCGAACACCAATTTGTTAATTATGCCGCAAACCGATCATGGTCAGATCTTGGTAATGAGCTAGCTGATCGGATGCACCTGACCCATGCACAGGCCGGGCCGGGCGGCCGGCATGGACCGGACTCAGGGTCCGCGACAGATTGACAAGCCTCAGAGCAGAGGCGGCCTCACGCCAGCCTGACTCTGATGGCCCGGTCTCTTGAATCTTACTAGTTACGGTCGCGATGGGACGGTCGATCAACTGGCACTCAGGCATCATTACACGGTCGTTTATCGGACATTGTAATCGGCAGCCTGGCATCGGAATGGACATCAGGTCGTTAATGCAACGCGGCGGGATTGGCAAGCCATGTCACTGTCCCAATGTCGCAAAGTTCAGTAGAGGATCACAAGCGGATGCTCCATGCATCGTCAAAGTCTTGGCAAAGAGCTTCGACTTATATTGGAAAGAAGGTAATCCTGGAAAGCTTTTGAAAGGTGGAACCGCAAATCTCCATGCCCGCCAAGCGTAAACAGCCAAGCAGTCCTCTTGCTTGCACTATTGGTGTCCCTATTTGCCTTTACCCTTTACTCGACATTTCTGACAGAACCACGCAACCTTGGGGATCCCTCTCAACCTAACACACTCCGGGTGTACCTGCGTCGCGCATTGGTCCCCGGCACAATGCACAAGCTCTCCTACCTTATTGCAGACCGTGCAATACTCGACACCCTTGGAAGTTACTGCATCGCAAGAGTGTGCCCTTGTTAGAAGCACATCCTTGTAAGCCAAAGATCAAGGCACAAAGACCAGGAAAGAAACTTTACCCACATCAGCAATATCGGCCAAAAGGTTCCATGCTTCCGTTTTGCTACAAAGCCGCCTCGGCAGGATGATGTTCTCCCTCCGAATTGGCCGCACCTCCCTAGCACAACTTTGGAACAAAGCAATCCTCAAGTGACACCCACAAAAGCTTCATTTGCAGCAGGTTGTTCCCGCAACATGATCAAACCCGCCAGACTTGGACGCACCTGCTCCAGCACTTCGAGGGGTAGTGCCGGCGGGGCTGTCTGTCTGAGCCTTCTTCTTGGGCGGCTGTTCCGGTTCCGCCTTAGGCGTAGCTGCTTCTTTCTTGCCCGGCTTCCTCTCCGGAGCTTCCTCCACCATTCGCGTCCGCTTCTTTTTGGAATGGCTGCTGGGGCCTTCCTTCGGCTGCTCACCGTTGTCTGCATATAAAGAAATTACAACCATGGCTCTGTATCCGCGAACGATTCCGAGATACCACGAGATTGCCCCGTGGTGGTCTCGCAATCAATGGAAATTATCGGCGCAAGCAGCCGTCTTCGAAACTTCGACTATTACAAAGAGATAGTGTCCACAAGGAATTTGCTGCTGTGATGGTGGAAGAAAGGATGTCCAACAGCTGCTGTTGCAGAACCAGCATTCTAGGCCCATTCAATGCTTGTACAGACGCGCAGACGCGCAGATTGGTTGAAACGCAACCGCTGAAAACGGCTCTTCCGAAACACAGTCTTGCGTGTTAACGTTGCTTCAGCAGGCTGGGCTACCAACTACATCAGATTTTTTCAAACACCCAATTCTCTGCACAGCTGTTGCCACTTTCTGATCGCCTCACCTTCTCCAGCACCTTCCTCTTCCTTCTTAGCCCCTATTTCCGCGAGAAGCGACAGCCCCGTAAGCGCCCCGTTTGCACCCCCCCTCGTGTCCCGCCCCGACCGGGACCGTTTCGGGGGGGACGGAGACACAAACACCACGTCTTCGTCCTCCTCTGCTTCCACTTCTTTCTTCGCCCCCCGAGTGGCGCGCCCTTCTCTCACCCCCCCTTCCTCTTTTACTCTTGGCCGACCCAACCGGCCAGGCGCGCTGTTCGGCGGCGCGGGTTCATTCGCCAAAAGCGTCTCCTTCTTGAACCGGGACATTCTACCGCCCCCCGGCGAGTCCTCCCTTTGCGTCCGCGGCCGGCCCGCCTTCCCGACGGTCGGAAACGGGGACTCTTCCCGTGTGGTGCGGGGCTTGGACACTCTCGGCGGCGACAAGAACTCGTCCTTCGGGGGTCGTCTCCCGGCCATCCGGGCAGCACAGTGCGCGCAGTGCCACTTTCCTCGGGGAACTCGACTGAGCCCCGCGCACTCCAGGTGCGCTAGCCGCGCGCAGCTCTCCCCATCGCACATCAGCAGCTCCCCGACCAGGCCGCACACGTAGCACTGGCCCACGTCCTCGTTGCCCTTCTTCACCGTTACTGCCCCGTTACCGCCCCCCCCCTCGACAACCGTCTTCTCCCGGAGCGAGCGCTGCCTCTTTGCATCCGCTTCGGCCTGCTCGCGCCGCGCCTTCTTCCGCCCGGCGACCGCTTCCAAGAACGGCTCGACACGCTCGTTCACCGAGTAGGCCAGGTACACCAACCGTGCACTGGTCTGCGCTTTCGCCACCTCGGCCCGCCATGCCTTGCGTAGCCGCTCGCCCTTCCACAGCGTCCCGTCGTCCGACCGGTTCGGCCGGCCTCCGTCCTCAGCAATCGCTTCGTCCTCGATGTCACTTACGGACGGCCAGTCGATTTCTTCCTCAGCTGGCGGAGCCCCTTCCTCTGGCGCTCTCTCCCCTTCTACGCCGACTTCTTCTCCCTCTACTTTCACGGGATCGCTCGGCCCCGCCTCCGCCTTCTCCTCTGGCTTCACCTCCTCAGCCGCCCCTTCTTGGGGCGCGTCCGAGTCGACAGCTGGCGGGGGGGTGGCGACAGCTGGCACAGCTGGGGGCGCAGGCGACGCCGCGGTGCCCCCCCTCCGGACCTTCGGCTCGATCGACATCGACATTGACAGCGCCACGTCTTCTAACTCCAACAAAAGCGGCCGCATCTGGTCCGGCGTCAGCGCCTGCCGCACCCGTTTCCGCCACGCGTTCCAGCCGTCGGCCGGGCGCCCCCCCCGGCTCTCCAACATCTCCTGCATCTCCATCAGCGTACTCTCCAGCGCTTCCAACTCGACCCCGTCGGGTTGCGCCGACTTCGGGCTGACTTCCGGCGACTTTTCCCGCTCCTGTTGCGGCCCGAGCTGGATGCCCTTCTCCTCGAGCCAGCGCCCGACGGGCGTCGGGCGGCTGCCGGAAACTTCGACGCGGATGCTAGAGCGCCACTTCTTGCTGCGGCTGCCGCAGTGGAGCTCCCACTCGTTGGGCGTGAAGAGGTCGCGCGACGACTGCTTTTTGCAGTCCTCGCAGCCGCAGTCGACGGCGGCAGCTTCCAGAAGCAGCTCGCCGGGGACCTACAAGAAGCGGGTCACAGGAAAGGCGTTCAGAGAAAAGGTAAGGGCATTGGCTGGCTTGAGTGACAGAAGGTCAGGGGCGGAAGGGCAATACCATCCGGAGATTCTGGAAGACGCTCGGAAAAGAGAAAGAGAGGCTGGCCGTCGAAACAGCTTTTCGCAGACAAAGATAACACAGAAAGGCAGGCAATAGGCGCTTCCTATTTAACAACAAGGGGAGAATGGCATCGTCAAACAATAAAAAAAACGTCGATCAGAGAGATGCAATCTGGGCCGGGGGATTAAGCAGATATGCTCCTAACCACACAAGCAAGCAAGGGACTCCCCTTACCAGGTTGCACTCGACAGCGACCCTGTCGGGCTCCTCAGGCGGGGGCGGCGCTTGAGCCTCCTGAGCCTGCTCCACCTCCGCGTCCACCGTTTCCTTGACGTCGGTGTCCCCCAGCTGCAAACGCTTCTTGCGCAGGTACTGGCTCATGCGCGGGTACAGCCCAAGCAGCGCGTTCTTGAGCTCGTTCTCCCGGATGCCCTGTCAGGAGACAGCGGGTTAAATGTGAGCGCTGAAAGCATCAAAGGTTTAGCTTGTCTCCTGGATTCTTTGCAGGACCAGGGCAGAATTTTTGATTTGAGCGCTAGGAGGGCCGAAGTGCTTGTACCAGATAAGAGTGCGGAGTGCAAAGTCTGGAGGACCAGTCCGCGTCTTTTGACTCGCAATCTAGTAATTGACAGGTCCGAGTCACTCTGAACGAAAGCCAGAGACTCGAAACGCAAGGTGAAGCTACCTTCTCCGGAAGCTGAAACGACGACTCTACGCTGAGAAGACCCGCGATCTTTTGAAGGACCGTTGAACCGGGCTCACAGAAGGTGGGCTGAAAAGCAGCGAAGCAGTTACATAACGCCCCCAAAATCTGAAAATCTGAATCTGATTTCAGAAGACCCCACCTTCTCAGTGAGGTACTCGAGCAGCGCATCCAGCTCGTCCTTGCTTGAGTAGACCTTCCAGCGGCTGCTCTCCTGGTCCCCGAAGCGCCCCCCTTCCTCCACGTACAGCAAGCTGCGGTCCCCCGAGAACCACCAGTACTTGTGGTGGTACCGGTCCTCCCCGAGCGGCACCGAGCGCAGCACCAGCTTCCCCAGCTCCTTCTCGTACGCGTCCTCGCGCCGCCGTCGGGCGTCCTCCTCCGCCTTCTTCTGGCTCGCCGCCTGGGGGGAGGAGATTATAGCATTTGAGGTGTTTGAACATATTAAATTACACTCAAACACGTCATCTCGGGTGCCACCAAAATTAGAAGAGCCGTGGAAGTCACTAGTATTCGTCAACAGCTTTGGTTGCGTTGTAGCACATACGGCCGCCAAAAACCGAACACCTGCAAAGAAGATTTCCTCTCCCACTTCCGATGCTGCAACTTCCAACAACCCAGTAAAGCCGTAGGTTAAACCTGATGGCGGGAGCATAGATTATACAATAGGATTTGCAAGGAAAGCAGAATCTTTGTATCCCATCCAATTCCGCATCTCAAAGTTTGTTTCAGCGAGACGAAGCTTTTGTATCTACTCTCTGAACCCAAGACCCATTTCAAAGCATCTGCAAATAACGCGGCCCACCTTCTGCTTCTTGATGTGGCGCTTCCGGTCGGCCGCCTTGCGCTTCTGGTCGCGCCGGCGCACCCAGTCCTGGCGCAGCTTCAGCAGCCGCTCCTCCTCCTCCTGCACCCACTGCTTGTGCGACAGCACCGCCTTGCGGTCCTCAGGGTCGCCCTGCAACCAAAGTATTGCCTTGATTCAAAAGCGCAACACGTCTGTACCAAATGACGTGAAAATGAAAGGGGGTCGAGTTGTACTTTTGAAGGAAAACGCCTTTAAACCTCTCGGTCCTCTGGTCACCCTGTAGTGAAAAGAAACCAGCGGCTCGTGCGGATTCCTTTCTTTTCCTCAAGGACAGACTGTCCAGGAAAGCAGTCTAAAAGAACTGCAGAAGAGCTGCACAATGGGGTCCGCCGAGGGTCGGGAGGACGAAAAACAGACTCCAAAACGGAAATAACAGGGCTTAGGGCAGAATTGGGCCATCACAACTGACTGCCCTGATCCTCTTGCTGGACAAAGGAGAAGATTGCGACACCATCTCGCCCATCAATGAAAAAACAAGGCAGAAGGATCTACTCATCATCCACCAGACGACGAACGAAGTTGACCCGTCACCGGTCAAAACGAATAATCTCGTCAAGCGAATACGTTTCTCCTACCTGATACTCCCGCTCCTCCTCTGGGAACTCAAAGTCCGGCTCAGCATCGTCTTCGTCGTTCAGGTCGGAGCTGTCCCCCGAGAAGTCGGACAGGTCGTTGAAGTCCGTATCGCTGAGGCCCTTCTCCTTGCGCGCCTTCTTGGCCGCGCGCTTCTTGGCAGCCCGCGCCGCACGGGCCGCTTTGCGCTCCTCCTTCTCGCTCTTGAGCCGCTCGGCCATCTGCGAACGAAGATGCTCAAGCTTTAAAGGAAGGAGAAGAACTTTGTAGAACGAAAACTGGAAAGAAGCGTGGTTGAGAAGCTGTGTCGTTTCCAATCGAATGCTCGCCTGCTGCAAGAAAAGCAGCTGAAAAGACACTTGAAGAATCGGACCTTTTCATTTCCAACCAGTCGGGCAAGTAGAGTTACTTGCCCGACTGCCCATGAACAATCTCACGACAACAAACGGCTTTGAAAGCATTATTGTGAGGTCCTCACTTGACAGGGCAACCCGGAACTGATACACTCGACCTGATTTGACGGCATGCAGCAAAACACTTCCAAGTCCCAAGCACACGCGCAGCCCAGACCGCCTCAATCAGCCCCTCACCTGGCGCTTCTCGTCTTGTTCCTGCAGCATCCGCTGCTTCTGCAGTTCGCCCACCGCCTCCGCGTTGCTCTCCAGCCAGTCCCGCGTGGTTGGCCCGTCCAACACGTCATCACATAGGCACCGCAGGAGCGCCACGTGCTGCTCGGGGGTCAGATCGGCGTACAACTTGCCCCCCAGATCATCTGCAATCTCTTGCAGCTGGTAGTCTAGGTGGTGCGTTCCCCGAGAAAGGTACCGCCGCAGCACTTCCTGCCACGACGCCCGGTCGACGAACCGCTGCCACCGGGAGAGCGTCTCGTACCCTATCACTCCGGGAGTTCCGCCCGGGGTGGTCCCCGCGCCGACGTCCACCAACGCCTTGAACAGGGTCACGTACAGGTTGACCAGCAATTCAGAGCCCGCCGGGTTTGCGACTGCTTGGAGGAGCGCGTGCATGCTAGTGACGGGGCACCGGAACCGCCGCCCAAAGGAGTGTAAAAAGTCCCACACGACGAGGATTTCGCCAAACAGGTCTGGGTCGATCTTCGTCGCCGCGGGTCCGCCAGCTGTCAGCAGCCGCTCCGCCGGCTGCGGTTCCGGCCGGGGCGGCCGCACCGGGACTTCGTTTGCAACGTCGAGCCCCGCCTTCTGCACCAACAGCTTCTCCTCCACTTCGACGCGCTCGACGTGCAGATCTTCGACGGGGTACTTTCTCCGCCGCATCTCCTCTAGCTTGTCCAAGCGTTCGAGGAACCGTTTGTGCTCGCGCTCGGCCTCCCGTTCGGCTTCGCGTGCTTCGCGTTCCGCTGCGCGCCGGAGGTCGCGCTGCCGCTTCTCCTCGAGGCGCGCGGACTCGCGTTCGCGGCGCTCCTCCTCGCGCTGTGCCTCGCGCTCCTCACGCTCGCGAGCACGCGCCCGGTCGCGCTCCTCCTTGTTGCGCTGCCGTTCTGTCATCTCCTCTAGCCTGAAAAATGCGGATTCAGTATCAGCCTTGTACATGCAAGAAGGTGGGCAAGCTCTAGGGTTGACTAACTGGAACGGACAAGTTAGGGATGGTGCTTAAACGCTGCACGTCAAGCAAGCCTCTTCATTACCTCCTCCAGCTTGGCGATTCCGGTTGGAGGCCTAAGTCTGTCACGTTGACAAGGAGACAAAACCACGGCCCGAGACCAAGTGCGGAAGAAGAGGTGCATGAAGGCCAATGAAGAAGGGGCACACTAGATGGATGAAGCAGTACTCAATCTGCTCTCTCAAAGTTCGACTTCTGAATGTTGTGGAACAGCCAAACATTGTGCTTCCGAGGGCGGCCATGAAAGCAAATCTACCGGCACGATTCACGGACACACAATGCTTACCTCTTCCTCTCTCGCTCCTGCTTTTCCACGCACTTGGGACAGCTCCAGTCGCCCTCTGGAAGGTCCTCAGCGGTCTGCAGGAAATAGGATTTGGTTGGCAAGGTACCTCATCAAAGAATCACACGGAAATCTCCCACTACAAAGTAGACAAAGTATCTAACTTGGTGAGTATGCAACATCTTACAGCAGCCAGAGCTGACCGAAAAGCGGATGAAAAAGCCAGAAGGTAGGAAATAGGTTCAGACAAACTCGTTCTACCCTGGAGCATGACTAGTTGAGCGTGATTATTAAGCATGTTGCTCCCGCTCAGCCTGTTTATCAAGCAAATCACCTGTGCATCAAGGAAGGAAAGTGGAGAAGTAAATATCTGGCACTCTGCACTTACCAAAGGGGGTGTCAAGCAGGAAAGATGGTAGGAGCGGGGACACGTGTCGCACATAACCAGCTCGGAACCATCCAACCCCTGGATGCGCCGGCACACCCTGCACCATACCAGCCAAGTTAGCCACCTCTTCCAAGGCTTGAATTTGCAGACACCTGGGATAACAAGCTTCTGAACAAAGAGCTTTTGAGCCAAAACAGACCACAGCATTGCGAAACGATTTGCTCGAATGCAAAGCATCAAACGCGATTCCCTGTCCTCATCGGACAAGCTCTAAGGGACAGTATTTTCCACAGCTTCTACAGAGCGCCGAAAGATGCGAAACCAAAAGGGTCAAACAGGGACTTCAACAGGTCGAGTCCAGCCAGATGCTGTACTCTACTGCAATGCCAAGTCATCCCCGTCAATGATTCTCCACCAGAAACGTAGATTGCTCACGAGCAGCGGTCCTTGTTGAACGCCTCCGGTTCTTGCTCCGCTTCCGGCCCCATCTCTAACAGTTCCGGTTCCGGCGACGCCTCCTGCTCGCTCTCTGCTAGCGCCTCCTGCACCGCCAGGGGGAGCGTCTTCCTCTTCTTCCGGGCCTGGCTCTGCCCCCCAACTTCGTTCTGGCTCCGCTTCTTCCGGATGGGGACTGAAAGAGCAACATCCACGTTCGAGCCGTCGAATCGCTTCTTGGGCGTGACGTCCGACCGCTTCCGCCGGAACGCTGCGATCTCAAACGGACCAAGAGACGCCTCTGGATCCGGCCCTAGTTCGGCAGCCTCGGGGACGCTCTTCTCTTCCAGGGGGTTCCTTTCCTCGTGGTCCGTAGGCGTAGCGTCCCCCTCCTCTGCAACAGGAACGGGCTTTTTTACCTTGGGTTTCTTAACAAGACCCCCCTCCGCTGCTTTCGGGGCCTTCTTCCGTTCCTTCTTCTGCCCCGGGGGGGCTTCCTTCTTGGGCGCGGCATTGCTGCTTTGACCCCCCTGGATCGACGGCAGCCGGAACAGGTTCGACTCCTCCCCCTCGAGCAACTTCTGCGTCTTTTTGATCACGCGCTTCCCGTCCGGTGTGCTCGCGCCTGACCCCCCCCCTGCCGCACCCGCCTCCTCCCCCTCGTTGGCATCGTCCAAAGAACCCACATTCTGCGCACCCTCAGGCTCGACCGGTTTCTTTACGACGGGCTTCCTCTTCTTCTTCGGGAGGTCGCCTTGCTTCACCCCGGCCAGCGCCCCGTTTGCGCCCTCCGTCGCAGCCTCCCCGTTCGGCGGCTTCGGCTTTCGGACCCGCTTCTTCTTCGGCTTTTCCCCGTCCCCGGCCGGCTTCAGAACCGGCGCCCCTTCTACCGGCTTCTTCTTCTCCTTCTTCTTCTTCTTCTTCTCCCCCATCTGCCCAATGGGCACCTCTTCGTCGCTGCTATTGACCTCAGTCTTCTTCTTTGCAACAGGCACTCCAGGACCAACTTTCAACGGTCCAGGGACCCCTTCCACACGCCCGCTTCCTTTACCCTCCAACTGCCTGACCGGAGCAAAAGCGCTGTTCCCACCTCCCTGGGGAGAAAGCCCCCCCCGCCCTGCTTGGGGTTCATACAAACCATCCCGAACCCCCGTCTGCACAAACGTGTACGGTTTCGTGCCAAGGGGGACGCTGCTTAGCCAAGGTTGGGGGCCTCTGCTGCCACCCGCAAGCTGGGGGGGCGACAGTCCCTGAGGCGTTGGGAACAAAGTATAACCCTGGGGCAACTGTGCCCCACCGAAGCCCACCCCGCCGAAAGGAGAGCTCCTCTGAGCGACAGGCGCCGTGGGGGGTGGAACTGGGACTTGCGCATGTGCCACCCGCCCTGCCTCCAGCATCTCGGCCCATTGCTGTCCTTGAGGGGCGGCTGCCGGCTTTGGTTGCGGAGCAGGCACCGTCGCAGGGGGTTGCAGAGGCTGGACCTCGCCATCGCTTATGTGGTTGCCCGCATAGCTATGGCCCCCGTCCTGCGACATGAGGCTCTCCAGCAGGTTTTCGATCGAAGCGTGGGGGTCTGACTCTTCCGCAGGGACCGTCTCGTTACACCCTAGCTCAGGAGCGCGTGCATCCAAAGCCTCAAATCCTGACCCCCCAACCGCCGCCTCCTGAGAACCAAGAAGGCTCCCAGAGACGGCCACCTGGCGCACTGCTACTGGGAGGACCGGGATCGTCCGACTGACTGCCGCATCCTTGAAAGCGGGGACAGGTTGTGAAGTCGGAATGGGCGATAGAACTGGGCCATCTGTGGTTTGTTCACCGGAAGGCCCGACTGACACTTTGAGCGACCCGTACGGAAGGGCCTTGTCGATTGGCAGCCCAAACCCGGCTGCCGTCCCCCCCGGCTGCGCTTGAAGCGAACCCGGGAGAGGGCCATTCTGCACTGGCACCTCTTGCCGTTTCTGCGGCATGTCTGCAAAGAGAAACGCTTCGCCAGCACCGGGCGCCACGCGCTTTCCGTCGTCTCCCCTCGGCAGTTCGAAGACCCCTCTTTTCTCCTGTTTCGCCACCGTGTTGTCACCAGCTTCCCCGAGGCTGCCATTTGGTTTCGCCGGGTCGTAACTCCCTGCGCCACCCTTCAGCCCGTATCCCTCCTTTCCAACCGGAGGGGGATCCATCACCCCAAAACGGCCCCGCCCAGTACCCCCTTCGGAAGGTTCGGCATTGTCTTCCGCGCCACCATCGACAAGCGGGCCGACCTCAGCTCCAGACTGCACATGACCGAGTGCAGATTCGAGTTTCGAAAAGTTGCGTGTACCTCTTCCCCCACTGGAGCAGATCGCAAAGCAAAGAGCCTAGCAGATAGCACGCAATTCAAAAACGAGTCAGACATAATTCGAGAACTTCCAAAAGACGTTCCACCCTCGGAGCCTATCATTGATAGTCCGAGGGAAAGAGGAGGTGCCAGACATCACAACTTCCACAAAGCACGCTCTCCCACTGAAGCGTACATGTAACCAAATCCAACAGACACCCTTCAAACCCAACAGACACCCTTCTCTTATACCTGAATCGACGAACACGCTCCACTCAGAAGTTTTGGAGACGCATCACGTACCAGGCGCGTCCGTTTTGTCGGCCCAGCGTCCTCATCCACAGGGTCACGTCTCTCTTCCTTAGCAACCATTGGTGGAGCAGCTTCCTGAGCAGTTGAAGCATCCCCTGAACCTGGGAGCGCCTGCATTTCCGCGGCAGAGCCTTCCTGGCCGTCAGCTGGAATGGGGGTTGCTTCTTCCGGCGGTGTCGAAATGACTGGCGCTTCGGAGACTGGAGCTGGCAGCGCTGCTTCCGACTTTCCGTTGGCTGTCCCAGAACTCTTGCCCTGGATGCAGAAGGTGGCAAGTTCAGCGCATTTCTAGTGAAGACATCGAAATGATAAGGAGCTGGAGGATGTATTCGAGCTCATGAAAGGGACAAAAAGGCCAGCAGCAGATTGAGTGCTAGCTTTCCCAACTCCCTCTTACAATGAGGTGGACCACCCTCAAAAGGTTGATGCAAAAGAAGATTCCATTGCACTCTAGAAAGCCCACCGGGAGACCACCGGGAGTCACAGCCTTCAGAAAGATACCCAGTTAGCACAGAACCAATTTTTCCGCAACCATCTGCCAGGGAATGCACAGGTAACACCATTCATCGGCATGCTAAAGCTGCTGCTTAAACTTTCCTGAGAGGTGCGGCACGCCCATAAATGCACAGAAAAGCGCAACTTGCCTTTATGACCATCTCCTGATGATCGAGAAACACCGCCGGCAGCTGCGCTCCCTTGTTCTTTGCCAGGGCAATCGCTTCCACCTCTTTCGCAAGCGCCTTTTCTTTGGCCCGCGCCCTGGCCTGCTCAGCACGCGCGCGAGCCTCGGCCTTGGCCACCTCAATCCCTTTCAAAACCCCCTGAGGCAGGTCCCTCGGGAGGTCGTACCGAGCGGTGTCTTCCTCATTCACCAACCAGGGGGAGCCCTGCCAAATGGACACACAGGAAGGTTTAGTTAGAAACAAACCTGATACAAGAAACATATGTCCAAATCCTACCATCATGCAGCTTGCTTAAGGACAACCTGTTTCTGTAAAAGAGGGAACAACTACTCCTTTCGCAGAGGGGGACAATGTCTATTGAAAGCTCTCAGCACGAAAACAGGGTTTTGTTTCCTTGGCCATGGAACCAAACATGATGAAGATGGGAAGCGAGAGGTCAAAGTGTGGTTTCAAAAGCAGGCCAAGAGCCATGGGGAAACTGCTTTCAGTTGAAGAACTCAAACAAACAGCAAAAGCAGAACAACAAAAGAGCATGGCAAGGTTGGGGGAGTTGCAAACCCCCAATTCATAACCAATGCAGAAAGATTACCTTTGAGTGACCTTGGCATGCGACTTCCATGATCCAACTTCGCAGGACCTGTCGGGAAAGGGGGTTCCGTTTTCTCCTGCAACAAAGAGATGCGAGGTTCAATACAGATCCAACCGAGAAGCACCATTCTTAAGGAGCATGCACAACTTTCTCATGGAAAAACGTCCGAAAGTAGCCTCGAACGAGATATAGCAGCGGCTTTGTACTTCTGTCACCGTCACCAAGACAAGCGGCACGCTTCTAGATTTTCAGGCGGACATATCTCAGACTCTGGCAATTTTAAAGGCGCCTCACCGCACTGCTTTTTGAGGAACAATGGAACGTGCGCTGCTTGGACTGTACAGATCGATCCACTCCACCTCATACTGTGGTTCAGCTGTGGAAGCAGACCCGTCTTCAGAGGCTTCAATCTTTCTGATGACCTTGCATTGGACGCTGCAAAAGCGCACAACACGTTGTGTGTGAGCTATCAGACCAGGAATCGCCAGCAGTTTAAAATCAAGCCAACGATTGAGGCCAACGCTGTTGATTGCAAACTTCTGCCTCCGCGGCTGACCACATCATAATGGACATTGCTGTAATCAGGATTCACAACATGCTGCCAATCATCAGGCAGCTTAGCAACGGCCACAACCATCTTCCGATACAAAACACTGCCCAGACCTGAATTGATCGTGTCAACCTGACAGCAGCTTCAGAAACACTCACACTTCCCCACGCTCGTTGATACTGGTGACCTCCTCGCCGACCACAAACGTCTTGTCAATGGATTCAATGATGTGAGTGACGAGGTCGTCAATCCTCAGCGTGTCTGCATGAGGCATGCGATGCATGAGCTTCCATCCATCTCAGGCGCCATGCAACCTCAAAGCACACAACAAAAGAATATCGCCCCGTCATAAGGAAAAGCTGTGCCAGCAAATTGGACAAAACAGTAACTGCTATCATAGCAGCTGCTCAGGATTCACACAGGCAGAAACCGTTGCCATGAATCAGGACACACGCCGCAGCATGCAGGGGGTGTGAACCGGGGGCTCACTGTGCTGAGTCAGGCGTAGGATGGGCCCCTTGAAGATTTCCGGCACTGTTTGCTTCCTGCTCCCACTCCTGGCCTCGCTGGCAAGTGCCTCTTCAAACGTCAGCCCTGTTTTGCCGCTGGATTTGCACGTCCACACTCGCTGCCTATACAGAGTGATTCTCTGAATGTACTCGCTGCATAGTCAGAAGGTGCTAGGTTGAGCAGGGCACCCATGAGACCTCTGACCTGGACAGACCAAAACCACACGAGCAGCTTTTCCCAGGCTTGATTTCGGGTACTGTCACCTTGTAACTTCATGGAACTCGGGACGACTGCTCCAAAGACCAGACTTGAAGCTAAGGCCTAAGCGGATGGGGGTGGGACCAAACGATGGGTTTGTTTGAAATGTAGCCTCACAAAGATCTTTCTGCTGGCACCCTTGTCTTCAGAGGCAACCTGAAACACGCCTTCTTGAGTAGACCATACCAGGCACTGGAGTTGATATGGTAAATCAAAACAAAGATGGACGAACTGAAAATGCAAAAGGATCTTCGCTTGGGGCGAGCAGAGCGTTTTAGCGACCGCACAGCTTACACAATGCGAACCAGAAGCGTTCTAAGGAAGCACCCAAAAGGAGAGCAGTCACTAAGCACAAAAGACAGCACTCGTCCGACTTGCCCTCAGTGCTTTTCAGCTTGAATGACTTCGCATACCCAACAGCTTGAAAGCAGCCAACTTAAATCTGGCCACCCAAACTACTCACGTGTATGAAGTGAAAGTCTCGCCCGTGAATGGTATAACATAAGAACCTTCCACAGGCTTTGCATTCTGCGTTGCAGGACTAACTGTGTACAATTTATCCTTGTACAGCGGCATCTTGCTTGCGGCTATCAGAACACATCAACCTTTCAGAGCGTCCCTGACAAGGCTGTTCAAAACTGATCGCCGCACTGCTTTCTTCTTGATCCGACAGCCCCTATCCACGTTCAAAAGCTGCACGATCAACAACTTGAACAAGCCAAATGCACTCTTTCAAGGTGTGGTGGCACCTCAAAGTACCACCTATCAATAATCTGGCTCATCAACCTCGCCCACCAAATGCTCTATGTAACCCTACACTGTTAAGGCCGAGTGACCGCCAGCTACTTCATAGCAACAGCTGCTGTGCTTGCATTTTGACAATATAGCGTGCGCTTCCTAACCCAAACAGCTGGCACCAGAGCCTGTAAGATCCTACACGAGCCGGTAAAGCTGCTCTTCTCTTTGGCCCTTATGGACACAAGGAATTCACCATGCTAGTGCACCACCCTCCCTTGCCACTCCTTGCACTTGCAAGATCTTGATCGAGCATTTGTGCTGCTGTCTGACTCGTGTCTGCACCTCCTTCCTCATGAGGGCCCGGATACATTGTCATATGAAGTAATATTTGCAGATTTTGCTATGAGTCAGACTTCGGTGATAGACCTTCGATATTTATAGGGGTACATCCGAAACTTTTCATCCGAAGTTTGTACCTGGGCGCTCATTAGATCCTCATGAGAGTTTTCGAGATCCCAGGTACTGCCTTTATATTCGCCCCACTTTCCGGCACATGAAAGCTGCGTATGTGTATTCGCCTTGCTTATAAATGCAGGCGAACTCCTGGAAGACCCTACTCGTATGCACGGGCAGGGAGTCGTGATATCCGTCGAATCAAGGTAAGATATCTTCCAAACCGTCCGATGACCGAGCTCATGGCTTATATACACATAAGTTATAAGAAACGGGAAAATGCAGACAAACCCTAAGTTTACAGGGTCTGTGGCCTCGGCCCAACTTCAACTTCAAGAGTCTGCACATCTCAATGTCATTTCTGCTCATGCAGCTGATCCGTGGACGCCTTTGGCAGCATAATTATTCAGTCCAGCCACCTTGCGTAATCCTTGAGCAACTCAAGTCATCAAATGTTGTTGTCTTTCGAAGGATTGGCAGCGCGTGTATAGGATATCCAGGAAGAGTGCATGCCTTCTGCCCCCGCAATGCTCGCCTTTTATTAATTGAATTCTCTTCAGTAGCAGCTACACGGTCATCTCTTGGGGTGCAAATGGCACCACCTCAGTCTGATCGGCAATGGGGTTCTTCGGGGGGTGGATATGAGTCCAGAACAAGTAAGATTTTTTTACTCTAATCCACCAAGGAAAACTACATTTTGCAAAGTTCCTTTCAGCGAAAACCCTGTACAAAAGTGCAAAGCAATCTGCACTAAGGCTGGCGCTGTTGTCATGCTTTTTGGATATAACTGATCAAACTTTTGGTAGCAACAGTTTTAGCCAATCATCTGCGTTGATCTTTATAGACCCAATGTCCAATTTGAGAAGACCAAGTTTGATTGCGATTCGAACAACTATAATACTGTGATCACACGATTGAGTTTGAAAAAGGGTTTGAAAATTGGGGTTCTTCTGGAGACTTAGGAGGCCCTAACGTGTACCACCACCACAGCATTCCTCCATAATATCCCCATCTTGCAATCCTTATGAGCTGGCGCTTCAATGTGGCCCGAAGCAGTATTGACACTGACTACCAAAATGCTTGAGAGTGTTGTGCGCTTGCCTGGGCAGCATCGTTCTAGAAGCAAGTAAGAAGGGCCAAGTTTTGCTACCTACTTAGAACCACAAACGCACTCAGCAAGTTCTCTTTCCACGAATGTTCTCATGTTGTTGTTGTTATGATTGATGATTTCTTACCTGTTATCATCAAACTTGCTACCGCCCTTGACAACCTCCGCAGCGAACCACCTGTCTGCGCTCTTTCCTCTGCAGGGACTTTCTTCCGCTCCCTGTCCGCCCCCACGATGCGTCCATCCGCAAACTCCTCTCGACCAAGGCGCCAGAGCCAATCCTCTGATCTTTCTCTCCTGGGCCTACTTCGGTTGCACTGGCCAGACTGGGCCTTATGCGTCTCCTTACTACTGCTCAAAGTTGTGCTCTTAGTGGCCCCCACGTTCATAAGCTATGTAGATAAAGACCATCTGGTATGGCTGCGGTATCCAATCAGGAAGAACACCGTGCCGGGCTGGGCCCTGCAGGTAAGACCCTAGTTCCACAAGATGGTCAATTCTCCCGCTGAATTTGGGAAACGCAGCTTCCTACAGTGTTTGGCAGTACTGTCGGGGTTGCTGTTCGTTGGGGGTGAAGGAACACCATGTTGCATTGAAGGCAAACTGCAGAGTGTAGACTTTCAAATTGTTTTGTCGTCAACATTAGAAGGAAGATGCAGAGGCGTTTCCAAACTGAAGAGATCTGGGTTTTCATTCAAGGATTGACTCGTAGCCACACATTGCTGTTGAACGTTGAGAGGAACAATGGAAAGGGCCCCTGTTCCACGTTAGTGTTCTTGGAAACTGGGGAGGAGGGTCTTCTGGTGGGAATCATTGTTGTTGTTTTTGATACTGGGAACAGCATTTCGTTTGAGAAGATGAGTGATCTTGCTTCAACCATTCAAAGTCTGCCAAGCCAAATTGTTGCGCTGCCTCGCATCTCAGATCATCCAGACGGTCATTCCAGGCGTTGCTGTCCTCATCTTCTTCGCTCTTCAGCGGAACAAGAGGGACATGCACCATGGCTTGCTAGGTGAGACATTGTGACTGTTTCTGGCACCCTGCCGTTTCCTCGTAATCTAGCTGCTGGCTTCCTCGCAATCATACTGCTTGGCTGTACAGGCCGTTAAGTAGTCAGGGGGTTGTATAAGCTCTTTGTGCCTCCATCCCGTCTGTGTAGCCATGAGAGCTCATCAAAGTCGAGCTTTGCTCGCAGACGGATGAATGCATAGTGGACAATCACACATACTTCATTGTGAAGGGTCTAACGTGGTTCTTGCAAAGCAACAGTCGTTGATAGAAAGCCCTGCTCTGCGCTACGTCGACTGCAGTGATTCGTCTTTTATCCGATCTTCCGTTTCGCTTTCTACCTCACAAGAACGACGAAGTCATTCTGATGGTCCACTCGAATCAGCTCAAGAGTTCCCGACAATAACCAAGGTTTCTGACCAAGGTTTCTTGAAACTGAAGAGGGGCTGAGAAGCTGAACATACTGTGTCCACGCAGGTCTTTTCACCGCGGTGGTCTTCACCAACGTAATCGTCAGCGCCCTCAAGTCCTCTGTGGGGAGGCCGAGGCCTGACTTTGCAGCTAGGTGCTTTCCAGACGGAAAGGAGGTAGGATCCAAGCCCCATCAATAATCTCCTGGCGGCTGCCTCCTTTGAATGTTGACCTAGAACGGAGTTCCGCTCTGAGTTGCCACCTGTATTTTGCACGCTTCCAGTCATTGTGGTTGGCTTTCTACAGGTAAAATGTGCAGGAGTTTGACGTCGTGGATGCTTTGCTAGTCGGACCCACTTCTTTCCTGTGGGAGTCCATCGTGCCGGTATATCTCTACCTAGGGATCTAGAGGATTTGAGGTACTTGGAGAGATATACTGTCCTTTTTGTCAAGGACGACTTGTCGCCACTTTGACTCCATTTGAATCGGACCTTAGGGCTATTCCGTTGCGAACGGATTGGTGCGTCTGCTTATGTGAAGCGTTGTCGACTACCTGTTGAGACCCCGGGGCTTTCCCGTCTGATTGGGCTTTGGTGAATCTGCTCAGATGTAAGGTGTCTGGCGGCTTATCCCTAAGAACCTTTCAGCAGGACAGGAACTGGCGATCGATTGCGCTTCGGTTTCTCCTGCAGGACTTTAGTCAAACTGGGGAGGTGCTTTGCACAGGCGCGCGTGCGCTCGTCGAACAGGGCCACGAGAGCTTCCCGAGCGGGCACGCAGCATGTGAGCCTTTTGAAGCCTTCTGACTATTGCGCTGTGAGAAGTTGCGCGGTTGCCAGTACTCTGGACCACTCTAGTTTTGGGCACCAGTTCGTGCAACCACATGTTTTGCCTTACTTTGTACTGCATAAAATCGCCTCCGCTCTTGTTTCTTCAAGCCAGAACTCAAGGATTGTCGATCTTGCCCTGAAAGTATTTGCTTTCGGAGGACTTCGGATGGGCTTTGCTGGCGGTGCCTACATCACTCGTTCCAACTTACCTCTTTCGAAGCACGGCGTGAGTCCTTTTCGAACGCGGAAGCTGTATGACCGGAGATGACTAACCCAAGGCTGGACCCTCAAAGCTTGCAGCATCTTGTCGAGACAGCGCAGAAAGGCTCGGCTCTTGCCGCAAAATCCACAGGTTCACTCCTGAGTTGGTGCTACAATCAGACTGCAGAATCTCGGCAAATCCAATTGGTTTTGGCACATCACACGAGACCGTCGCTTTGCTGTGCTCGTTCACATCAAGCGGTCGGTAAGAACCAGCTAAATCAGTAGGTTCAGCCTTCCTCCCCTCCGATCTTCACTCGCTCGCCATCCTCACCCCTAGCTCAAGCCCAAAGAACCTAGCCTGCCGCCAATCCCAAGGTTTAAGCCACCCTTTGTGTTTGAGACTCTTGAGACCTGCCTTTTCCCGCCTTCCTCCCTCGAAACTATGGAGTGGGTCTCGGCTACCTGGCCTTGCATCTCTAGACCTTTTGACTGAACCCCGTTCCGCCAAATAAATATAAAAGTCCGTCCTGGGTCCTGGCTACCTGCCCTCGGATTTTCAGTTGATTCTCGTTCCGCTGTTCCGTTGTTCCGGATTGCGTTCCGGGACCCGGCTACCCGGCCCTACACTCTCGAATCATTTGATGAACCCTCGATAACTGGATGCAGTGGTTAGCTTCGGATCATTAGCGTTGTTTGTAGGTACGTTTCCTCGTGAACATGGCATATGTTTTGCCACTGTATTATCGTACGCCCCATGCCCTTTGATGCGCACGGGCTATAAGAGAAGTGTCCATTGCCGTTCCGTCTCCAGATTCCGCCGTGGGCCTCGGCTATCTGGCCCTGTTCTTCTATCCCTTCTGACCGACTTCAATTCCGGCGTTCCGCTCTGCAGATTCCGCTGTGGGCCTCGGCTACCTGGCCCTCTACCTCGCCGGGAAGTTGAAGCTGTTCGACGAGGAGGGCCACGTGTCCAAGTCCATCCTGGTCCTCTTCCCCATGTTGCTCGCCATCCTAGTTGGCGTCTCGCGCGTCGACGACAACAAGCACCATTGGCAGGATGTGCTCGTGGGGCTCGGTATAGGTAGGTGGGCAGATATCGTCACGCGAGTGCGGCGACCGTTTAGCTGGCGCTTCTGCCACCAAGTCGCCGTTACTTTCCCCCGGATTGGTGCGCTGGTTGTGCTCCTTTGGTGCCTGTGCGGGTTAACCGGAATGTAAAAGGACTCCGGAAATGTTTGGGGTGCCTTTGAGATTCCGAAAGGCAATTAGAGTGGGCCAGTTGAGTCACTTTGCAGCCGAATCTCAAAGGGGGGCTTACACTCGGTTGACAATTCGTGCACATAGACCTTGGGCTTTTGACGATTTCGAGTATCGTGCGTGTCTGCGGCGATTTGAGCAAGCCACGAAGCTTGGAGGTTGGTTTCCGGTCGAGAGGCGCGTTGAACTTTAATCGACCAATTGGACACTGGTGAACACGGGTAAACGTTATCCTTCAGAACTTTCTCACAACTTTTGCGGCAGAAGGCAATCACGGATACGCAAGACGATGTCCCATGCTACTTTGCCAGATGATCGGAAGAGTGGGGTCGGACACCCCTAATTCAGGCTGTTGGAAGAGAAGCTCCTGTTGTTCTTCGGTGCCTCCATTTCCCGGCAATATGAGCAAAGGCAGACGAGGATCAGAAGCGGAGGCCTCGGCGAAGAACAATCGCCATCGTTTGTCCGTAACCGAAAAGGAGCCGTGCATCGGGCGGCGATGCCCCACTCGATAAGCAGACTGCTTTTCTGTGTAATATCCCGGCTCAGATGGTTTTATAATGGGCGTTTCTGATTTGGTAGGGCGTTTGTAAGAGCAAGACCTGTTAATCCAGATACTTTTTTTTTCCCGCTTTTGCAGGATTCAGCCTGGCGTGGTGGAGCTACCATCATTACTATCCGCCTTTGCGGGCAACCAAATGTGAGCTTCACGCGCTCCTTTTATACAGTACACTCTCCTTCCGTCCTTGATGCTTGCTTGGCCCATGGAACACAACGACCAGCATAACGGCGAGTCAAAAGATGACGTTACCAGTCATGCACGTCGGTTTCGGTTCCCGCTCATTTTGCCTAACGTGAACCTTCGGATCTGATGAACATGGCGTGCTGGGAAAGAGGCGGGCCACCTCTTCTTGCTTGTGGCGAACGCTTCAGTTGGAATTGTGCCGTCGCCACTTCTTATTTACATTGCTTTCACGGGCTCTGTTTAAGTTCGATAGTAACAAGATTTTCTGGTTTTTTTGTCAAAGGCCACGTGATCCTTCCACCTCGTTCCTGCAGGCGACGTGCCGCGTGATTTCCAAAATGAGTTTGATGCACTACCCACCATCTCCGAGGAAGAGGAGCACGTCAGTCTCCGAGCCTAAATTGTCTCACGGGTTTCGAACTGATTGCATTGTTTCCCAAAACGTTGGCGCCAGTTTGCGCCTGTCATGCAGAAAAGAACTTAAGCTCTGACGGTTTGTGCACGCGTTTCATGACAAGCCAAAGTGCGGTCAGGTCATTGAATGTACGGTCTGCACATACTGCGAGCTGTCCATCAATCAATTTAAGCAGAATTCTTCTTTGTACGTGAACGAAAGTCGCGCTGGCCGCCCAATCGGCCACACATGATATAGTGACCGAGGCTGAGGCATGGTATCTAACATACTTCGAAGTGCTTTACGCGGCGGATGATCGAAATGATCAATGCACTATGTCAATCTTAAGGGCTGCAGCATCGGCGGGCCGGGCCGCCTCTTGTGGGCCATGTCACTGTGCTAGCTTGCCCGGCCAGCTGCTCCGAGATCAACATATGAAAGGTAGTATTAATCATGCTTGATTAATTCTGCTGTACGCAGTCTTAAATAAGACTGGACAGAGACCGTGCATTGCGAGCTGACTCATGCCAGAATTTTCACGATCGACGACTCATGCTGTATACTGCAATATTTAACTCAAAACGATCGAACTAGTCAGTATATCCCGAGCCCGGCGGCTGCAGGATCATTGGCCTCAGGACGTACGCGATAGCTTTTGCAACTTTTTTAGCCTTATAGTATACAATCTAGCGGCGGCCGCACCGGTTGCTATAAACATACCACCTGCTATTCTTGTGCCAGACGGTATAGTGACAAAAGCATGTGGACGATGTGCATGCATGGCATCTATAATTTGACACGTACCCTGTAGAGCTCACCCTGTAGAGCTCATGCAGTACTCAAGGCGGCCTAGCTTGCGCGGCAGCTACCGAACCTCCGCCGAAATATGCAAAACGATAATTGGTTCCTTAAATCTGACACAACCGCAGGATGCTTTTTGAGTCCGGTCCAAGTGTAATCCAGCCGACGCTATCCATGCAGATATTTGACGCTGTGCCAACCCGTCGAAACTAACATCTTGCAATCACACCGGCCCGCTGCTTATATCTAAGCTGGTTTTTTGCCAGTATTCCCTCCTGACCCTTATCAAACTTTTGAAACCGTCTTCGCGTGACACAGACGGTTCCCTGTAGAGCATTCCAGCAAAACTTAACCACCGCGTTAGCACCTACGTAACATTCAACCTAATAATCTATGCGTGAGAGTGCAGCAACCGTAAGTGCCATTGGGACCAAATGATTGCAATCACCACCCGTATAATCATACTACTGTAGACGTACTACGCAACCCCAACACGAAGATCAACCGCACCGTTTTAAAGGACCCGCGACCGACCAAATAAACGGGCACGCATGAGCTCTTGATCGCATCGTCTGCTCATGCTCTGCTTTTTGCGTGATACATGCACTCCCAACCAACGACCCTCGCGGCTGGTGAGCTTATACGGAAGTCCATCCGCATCCCCGCTCTTGCAACTCTTGTACAAATAACCAATAACGTCCCCGCTCCCGCGCGTTATTCGTAGGCTTTCCTCGCGAAGGTCGTGATGAACGAAAAGATGGAGATCCACACGTCGCGGTAGTCGCTGTTCCACCGGGGCCCCAGCAGCTGCTCGAACGTCAGCAGGAACGTGGAGCACAAAATGTCGTAATGAATCAGTTCCACGCCGTACTTGACGTGGAGCGCTGTCAGCTCCGTCAGCATCGGCGCCAGCGAGTCCGGGTCCTGCATCTGGCGGACCACCTGCCCGGTGGTTGACATGACCGTCTCCACGTGCACTTCCAGCTCCTGCCGGGGCGGAAGGAAGGTGACGTCAGCACATCGGAACGACGTCAGCACAGGAGAAAGGCATCAGCCACGGAAATGGCGCAGCACACGGAAATTGCGTTAGCAGAAAATGGAGGGCGTCAGGACACAAAGATCGCGTCTGTTCAAGGCGCGCCAGTCTAGAGAGATGCTTCGCTTTCAAAATCCAACAGGATTCGCACGGGAAGCTGACGTGCTAGAGCCTTGCATATAATAACTAAGAAGAATTGGATGCGCCTGCCAGGCCCATCAATGAAAATGGCCAACCGCGTTCTGGTGAACGTTTTCCGACAAAAAAGTGACTGAACAGGCAACTCGCTCGATTCAGACCTCGTCAGGAACAGCAGCGTGGCGGATTGCTGCAGAACGAGTAATGGAATTTGGGGGATTAGATGCGGAGAGCAATACCTTGGGCTTTACATTGGTTTTGTTTGTGGCCCCAAGCACGATAATGATTCCGCCGCTCACCTTCCGGCGCGGTCTTCCGTTCTCGTCCTTGAAGGGGAACAGGGTGAGCACCTGCGGCGCCAGCTCGAATAGGTTCTCGAACACTTTGACGCCCCGATCGATGAACTGGCGCCGGTCGTTATCCGCGAACGCGGAACCCTCCATGAAGTCCCACCTGCATCCGGGGGAACGAACCAATTCAAACGGCGAGGGCTCGAGGATTTGCCACTGATCTGTTCATTCACAAGACTAAGTCGATCGCAATATTGGCCAGCAAACGTAAGATCAAGGGAAGTTGATGACTGCGACGAAATAAGAAAGAAGCGTGGAGAAAACCAACTGACTGCAATTCTCGCTATTTGAAAGACGCAGGAGTAAAAGGATGAAAGAAAAGTAGCAGAACGAAAAGTCGGTCCAGGGCTTTCCTCGCGTTTCATTACAGAGCCTGAAAGCTTCGTAATCCTCATTCCTGAATTCCGTCCATACAAATGAAGTTCTATCAACAGGACGTTGCTCAAGTTAGTTTCTGAAAACCACACAGAACCTCCCAGTTCTAATCACACCCTCTCAGCCTTGATGCAATGCAAAATTCCTGAATTGTAGACCGGGCGCGTAATTTTCTCCCAGGGAACATCTTTACGGGAGCTAAGTGGCACTCGAGCTGCCCGATGATATTCTCCGCTCTCGAATACAGTCCCGGATACCACTCTTGTTCAATGTACGACACGCTCCGAAAAAGTTTTCAGTCTCATATAGCACACTCCACAGCGAACACAGTCCCGGACACCACGTTTTAGACTGTAAGACACGCTCCGAGTAAGTCTCCAGTCGCATATAGCACACTCACAGCGCCTGCGCCTTGAGAATGCGCTCGTCGCTGAGCTTCGCGTCCGCGGCGCCTTCGCCCGCGGCCGCGCTGGGGCTCCACGCGGTCATGCTCGGCCACGCGTCGAAGGTGCTAGAGGCCGTCACGCGCGCGCCGGCGCCCTTGAGAAGCGCGGCCGCGCCCGCGTGGCTGTAGGTGAGCGCGCACATCAGGGGCGACTGGCCCCACCTGCGCGCGCAACGCCGGGATGCCGGTTAGCTCGTGCGGGGAGCGAGGTACTGATTCCTCAAAATATGTTAAGAAAACCGCGAATAGCAGCAAAGGCGGGCGAGGAGCCCCTCGCTGTCTCAAATACCAACAGGGCGGTAGTCACTAACCGCCTACCCCAAAAGAAAGTTCCGAGAAAGTGCCGGTAGGATGATTGGTTCGCTTAGGAACAGAAGCACCAGGGAGTATCGACCGGTGCATCAAGGCAACCCTACGACAATGCTCTCAGAAGAGGGGATAAAGGGTAGAAGGGGGCCATCAGGATGGAATTGGCTTGAAACCTTATACTGTCAAGGCAGGGGGGAAGCAACGTGGAAACAGCCTACTGTGAAAACGGTGGACGAATAGCAGTTCGGGGTCTCGGTATCTGGCAAGAATGGTATCTGACGGTCACCTGTCGGCCACGTTGACGTTGCACCCCTCCTCGATGAGCAGCGCGAGCACGTCCGCGCTGCCCAGGACCGCTGCCAGGTGGACCGGCGTCGCGCCCACGAAGTCCGCGGCCGCCAAGCTCGCCCCTTCCGCCTTCAGCTCCGTGATGCGCGCTGCGGAACAGGAACAGAAAATTGATTGAGTGACTGGGGCTTTGATTTGGGTTAGAGGGACCGCGGCGGCCAAAGGTTGCCCGGCCGCCTTCAGCGCCGCGATGTGCACTGCATTCACGGAAAGGGGAGGGCTAGCTTTCAATGCGGGCTTGAACACGTGGTTGAAGGAAACTGCGGCCGCCAAAGTTTGCCCCGGCCGCCTCCGTGATGCGCAATGCAATTATAGAGAGCGGAGGGCGAACCTCAACGACGATTTGGAGCGTGGTTACAACGAACCGCGGCCGCCAGGATCCCCTTGGCCCCTCCGTCTCCGCAACGGAAAAGAAAACGGGAATCCAGAACAGATGTGGGCTTTGAAGTGAGTCAGAGCTCTGAAAATGTTTCGTTTGGGCACTGATTCCTACAGACAAGAACGCTTTAAGACCTTGGCGTGAACGGTACAAAAGTCGGAAGAGCGTGCCGCCCGACCTGCGTCGTTGGTCAGCGCGGCCGCGTGCACGGGGTAGAAGTCTTTGTGCATTCCGCTGACGACAGACCCGCCGGCGGCCCTCAGCACCGCCTGCAGCTCCGGCTTGCGCCGCGCGAGTGCGAGCGCAAGCGGCGTCAGGTGCCAGTGGTTGAGTGACATCAGCACCGGTAACATGTCCTTTCGCGCCAGTAGGGCCTGTCGAGGAAAGTGAGGGAGGGTAAGTTCGTGTGCGCGTGCGCTTTTTGATTGCTTATGGCGTTTCCACCCGACATAATCTGCTGCTCGAGGGCTGGAAACGAGATGCTCACATCACACAATATAAGGTGTCCTTCAGGGTGCAAGGTCGGGGATCGGAAAGTACTTCCAAGCAGGTTTCGTGACGAGCAATTCTGCCCAAGGCATCTACAAGGTTTTAATCGATTACTCTGCGGCTCGAAGACACTGCGCTCGAAGGCACGCCTGCGCGCGTTTGACTCTGTACAAAAACGCTGAGAACCCTAGTACGGTAAGAATTGACGGTTCTGCAGAAGATCAGCAAATATTGCATGTCAATGCAGCAGATTGCCGTGTAACGGCTATTATTCTCCGATAATCTCCAGTGCCCCAGGGAATGATCGATTTCCGCATTTCAGGTATACGAAGCGACTCACCTTTAGCAGCTCCGGATCGTTCTTCTCCACGGCGGTGTGCAGCAAAGTGTTGCCGGCGCTGTCCGCCACATCGAATCGCAGGCCGTGGTCCAACGCCTTGAGAACGCCTGCACAAACGGTGAGGCTCCACGTCACTACAATTGCAGGCGTCCTTACAATGTTATCTCTTGTGTCCACCTTCCCACATCTTTTTCTCAGTTGTTGTTCGCCTCTTCTTGTTTGTTTTGCCTAGTTGCCAATCGACGGCTGGTACGCAGACAGTGGAACAGCAACTCCAGACGAGCAACCCCCTCAGCCCCTCATGCGAACCGAGAAAGAAAGGCGCGGCGCAGGATACCGAGTGGGGACGGCGTAACTCAAAAAGGAAAACCGTCTCGGGCACCTTAAACCCGCACCCACGATGTTGTACGGCCAGTCTGCACTTCTTTAGGCGCGGAAATCACGGAAATCGACGATATATCAACTCTCTGCCTTCGTGGTAACCATCGAACACTCCATCGAAAACAAGATTGTGGGTGCGAATTTAAGTTGCCCGAGCGTGACATAGGAACTTCAAAAATAAGTTTTCGAGTCAGCGCCTCACGCTCCGTGACGGAAGAACCGGGCACCGCCCGGAGCACGTCGCTCAGGGTGTCTTGCTCCGGCTTCAGCGCCTTGGCGGCCGCGTTCTTTTGACCCGCGTTCGAGACGATGCCGAAGACGTCATCGTGGAAGCGGCGCTCCACGGACATGGCAGTCAGCTTCTCCTTGCCTGGCGAAAGAACGGACTGGTCGTAAGACGCCTTTGACACACAGGTAGTTTTTGAACCAAGAAGCAGCGAGGGTGTCAAGAAAGCACGTCTGTTGGAGCGGCGACCCTCTCGCAGGATTGCATCGGAGGAACTCTGCCAGGTTTCAGGACCGGTATCTGAGGTTTGCAAGGATCTTTCGGTGCGAAAGAAACACGTGGAATTTGAGGGCTTCCCGTTTGACTGACGGATGCACGACGCGAAAGACGCCTTGATACGTGACGCCCCGGCATAACCAGGCTCTGGAAGATGACTCGTGAAGAGCTTTCAGCGGAACGGTTTCCTTTTCCTCCCTGTTGAGATCAACCCAGACTTACCAATGATGCCCGCGATCACTGCCGACACCTCTGCAGACATGCGCGAATCACCTGCAAAACGTCGAATGGGAGTTCAGATTCCTGGCACCAGTCCGCTTGCAGCTTTCAAACTGAAAAGTAACAATCGAGGCAACGGGAGGCAGCAAGCTGGCCGTACGGATCACGTGAATGCCCTATTAACAAGAGGGGGCTGTAAGAATAGAAGGATGAGGTTGCCTCGTCACGTGTCGCCTTATCAAAGCCACACAGCCTGGAGACCTTCAACCTCAAATTCAGAGCGGAACTTTTTCCGACGTATTACAAATGTAGACGTGCCCGTCCTTGGCCTCCAGCATCGCGCTCAGTTCAGCTGCGGACTGCAAAACAAACAGTGACGTCAGCGCATGTACTGTATCTCAAAGGAACTCCGCTTTCCCAAGTCACTGTCGGAATGCATGGACCAGAGACTACTGGTCCCGTTCTCCTCAGACCCAGAAGTAGAGTTCCGAGACAGACTGTCTGAGATGACAGATGAAGCATAGTTCTCGACTCCAATTGATAAACCAAAAGAACAGCTCCTGGCTTTTCCCTCACCTCTTTGAGCTTCTGCTGGACGTACAGTTTCTTGACCCCTGGCTCGCGGGAGTAGGCAACTAGAACGGCGCTGATTGCACCGCTCGCCACGGCGGCCTCGACTTCCTCCCTGCGAACACGATGGGTTCACAAGTGAACAAGCCGGATGAGAATCTTTGAGAAGGCGGAGAAACTTACAGCCTAACTCTGCCCTGATGCCCAAACATGGGAGCCAGCATGGGAGCCGTTCCAAACGACCTGCCCGAACCAGTCCCTAACCCTTCTCGCTGGAACGGACAGACATCAGAACGCCTCTGCAGTATCTGTCCAACATGAGAGAACTTCGAGCACAATTCGGAGTCGACACAAGCGTGACGACGCCATCATAAACAAGCGTGCGTGGTACTTGTCAAACCCAGAAGCTGGGAAGCATTCCCACAAGCACGATCACCAGAACATAACCAAGGCAGGCACGACTCACTTGCAGATCTGGTCCTGCTTGGAGCGGCAGCCGAAGATGAAAACGCAGGGGCCCATCTCGCCGTACGCGCGCAGCTTCTTGCGGTGCTGGATGAAGCCGCGGACGGGCGCCAGCCCGGTCCCCGCTCCGACCATAATCACCGGGCGCCTCGTGTCTAGAGGCAGCCTAAATGCCGGGACCTGGAATGAAGAGGGTTCAATCAGCCCTGGTTAAGCCCTGATTGAGACCTGGTTAAGCGGCCGTCAGGAGGCGGTTAGCAGTGGCGACAAAGTTGGTTGATTGAAGAAGAATTGCGGAAACAGAGGCGTTTGACGATTCCGTCTACACTTGGACAGCGTTGGGACGTCACCGATGAGACTCCACGGTGCAGAAAATGAGCGGGGCGGTGATCACGGGTCTCCTACACAGATTGGCGTGAGGAGATCGTATTACGGTCAGGAAATCTAACTAAAACTGGTCCAAATTCTTACCCTTGCAGCCTACCAAGGTATTAGCCAGCCGAAATTGAAGGGACACCATTACCAGATTCTTAGAGAACTCTCGTCGAGGCACGAATGTGTTTGTACGAAACGAGAAAGTGTTCTAAGGGTGGCGAGCACTCCGTTCGGAACTCATTCCTCCGGCCACTTTTGGAAACTGTGCGCCATGAACTGCGCAACTTGTCATAAAAGCTTGTTTCCACGTACCTTGGTCAGCTTGTAGCGGACGATGTCCCCAGCTTTGACGTGCTGCGTGAGGTAGTTGGAGCACTGGCCGAAGCGCTGCTTGCCGTTGGGCAGAGTGTACGAGAGAGCGCCCACTACGACGTGAACCTGGGAACACGTGAAAAATGGTGGATTCCCCGTAGCCCGACAACTCATAAATCTCAAGATAGACAATTATAAGCCAGGATAATTGAAAGCTCCGGCTAATAAAAACACCCTAATCCAAAAGGATACCTGCTCCGCACCCACACCCACCCCAACCACCAATCTAACCCTACCCGTCCCAGGACGGTTTCAACTTATTATTATCTCGGCTTATATGTATTTTCTTCGATATAAAAGCTGAGGATATTGTGATCGTGGCCTGACGGGGTGTTCAGCGTGACATGACACCGGCAAAAGTACCTCGAGAGGGAACTCATATGTAGGAGAAGAAGTAGCACTGTTGGCCAACCTTCTTGCGTGATACGTGGAGAAAATCAAAGCGGAAATTAGCGGGAAGCACTGCTAATTGCCGCGTGTGGGAGGCTAAGAGCTGAAACATCACTTGACGGAGAGGCGAAGGGTTAGGTGTTTTTGGAGGAAGACGAATCTTGAGGAACGAAGGCAAAGAAAAGTTCCGGAAATACGTCCTCCAGCAATCCTCAGCAACAAACGACGCAACGATCTCTAGCTGCTTTCAACGCCTACAACTTTCTGACCCCTTCCAAAAAAAAGCATGCTGTCTCCAGCTACCTAAACCAGTCACCTTAAAAGAAGCACCTACAATCGGCTTTCGTGCTTGAAAATCTATGTTACGCCACGTACTTAGCTTAATCTGTCTCAAACTTACGAGAAAAGTGGTTTCGATCAGTACGCAGTAACTGCTCACCTCTCCCGGGCTTGCCAGCATGCTGCTCGCAATGCTGTAGTAGCGGGGGTGGATGGACGGCGCGATCTGAAGCAGCACCTCGACGGGGAGCTTCCTGGACAGCGTTGGGAAGCGGTCGAAAATGTCGACCCACCTGTGCCATCAACATTGTAAGCGGGATCAGCATCCGCAGAGCATACGCGTGAACATAGGGGGAAGGCTTTGACTTGACACCAGGGCTTTTGGAAAGGTTTGAACGGGTTTTTTGCAGCGATCGATGCGGGCAGGGCGGATGGCGGCATCGTCGCAGGCAGAGATGCCGCTCAAGAAATCGACTGTGGCGGCTTCTTAGGTGATTGAAGCTCTCTGTGGACAACCAACGACCGAAGCATGTTCTATGTTTTTCCAGAATGACTCGTGCGGAGATTGAGAAAGACAGGCATGCTTATGGCACGAGCTAGAGTAAATGCGGAAACAAGCTGAGCCAGTTCGAGTACTGACCTGAGGTGCTCTTCCGCCTGCCAGGCCTGGAACTGCTTTTCATCACCGCCGAGCGCAGTCAGCTCTTCTTCGTCCGCACCCTTGGCATACTGCAGAATTCAATTCAATGCGTCTGACTTTCTTCTACTTCAAGACGAGGGTCCGACTGGACATTTATTGGATCCACAGCTGATGGAGGCGTGTAAAGCAACTTCTGAACCCGCTCACTGGGCGGCGGCCGTGCTCCCTGTTCTACACATAATCGACGGCCACGGTGGTCGGAAGGAACAACTCCGGGATGCATCACCTACCGCTGCTTAGCCTAAACTCAATAAAGATAATGATAAGCGGATGATAATAAGGTAACGGCAATGGGACGGGCAGGGTTAGTCTGGTAGTAAGGGTGGGTATGGGCGCGGAGCACGTCTTTTTTTGGGTTAGGCTTTGGTATTAGTCGAAGCTTGTTATTATCTTGGCCTACCTTTATATCCCTTGAGAAGAATCTGCAGCGAGCCCAAACGGAACACACTCCCATCCGACCGGACTTGGACAAGAAATCTGACGCAAAATCATTGAAGGTACTTCAATGATCTGTCCTCCAACAGAACCTAATTAGTGTGAATCACAAATGTTCACACGCGAAGTTACAGATGCCACACGTACCATCGAGAGCGGCAGCACGGCCCGGAAGTTGACCTCGTCCTGGAGCGCCACGTGGTTGGTCAGGATCGTGCGGAGCGAGTTGGGCAGCGGGAAAATCTTCTTGGGGTCCTCCACGTCCGGGTCATCGCTGTTGACCAGAATTTCTAGGTCGAAGACGGTATCGAGGCTGAGCTCCAAGTGGTCGGCGACCTCGTCCAGGCGGGATCCCAGGGCAAGGTTGCAAGGCGCGACGGCGATGTGGTCGCCTGGAACAAGAGGGGGGTGAAAATTTGCATCGGAAGGCGGCTACAGTGGAAAGAAAGGCGACTAAAGGTTGAAGCCTCGGTTGTCGTAGATGCACCCGCTACAATCATGTCAGGGCGCCCGTCAAAGTATTGTGTTGAAAGGGTTGGATGATCGACTCAAAATGAAAGGGAACATCTAAATTCAAGCTCGTCTGGAGACTCATGAAGCTGCAAAAATGTTTTCGAAGATCACGCGTTCGCTGTTGCAAGACCGATAAGTGTAGTAGAACCAATCAAGCTGACCAGGTCAATTTGGAGCGGGAGCTCAACGGAACGGATCAGCGGACAAGTTTGCAGCCAACATTCTTTAGAAAGCTTGCGCACTGCATTCTTCCTCACGTCAGCCGCGGAAGCTCGACGAGCGACGGAGAGTATATTCAGCTACTGAACTCGAGTCGGTCAAGTCCATGTCCTAAAGTCTTCTTCAAACCCCCCGCTAGACGTGCGAGCACCTGTCCCTCATCCGTCCAGCTCAGAATCGTTACTCCGATGACATCACTCAATGCCTCTGCTGAGGCTCGCATTCAGCAACTATTTCAAGAAGAAGCACTACCCCAGACAGATCAAGACGACACTTGAGACCCTGTTAGTCTGATTAGGAAGAAACGATCATCACAGGTTAGAGATGCAGTGAGATAGAAACGGGCAGGGGACTCTTGTTAACTGGAAAAATTGAGCTCACACACTAACAAGCCCTGGAATAATTGAACAACGACGAGAAATCGGAAAGGGCTCCAAACCTGGCTCGTAGATGGCAAGCGGCTCCGACGAGATGTCAATCCGCACGAGCGTGGTCGCGCGTCCATCGGTACTGTCGAAGAGCGGCTTGGCCTCCAGGACCGGCCCCTTGAGGACTTTCACATCCTCCGCGAGCTTCTTGATGCCTGCGCGCGCACAAAAGCGGTCAGCATAGCGGCGCCAAAAAGGTGCAGAATGCAAGTCTTGTCTGAGCGATACCGGCTAAAGGCTACGATGAAGGGGCAACTCCGTGTTCGGCTCTTGCTCAATACCAATTCTCAGGATCGATGAGGTTTGGGCTACGTCTTTTCAAAGGGATGCCAAAGTTCCTCTTAGCGCTTTGAAAACTGCTGAAAGAACGAGCGAAACTCACCTGAGAGGACGACGAGCCCGTAGCGGGCGACGAAGCCAGCGTCTCCACCCATGAGAGTCTTCAGGTTCGTCTGCACGCCTTCGCAGGCCTCTCGTATTCCAGGCTGCAGGACCGGCGCTCTTGACGTCAATACGGAATCAGGTTTGCGGGTTCGGATGCAGGAAGGGATCATGTTATGAGACTTTGCATTCCAAAGAGAGGATGTCCTATTTCAACTTTTTGGAAAAGGCCCTCCACTTCTGGCAGGGATAGAGGGACCGCTTGCCATAGGGTTCAATCGAAATCACTTATCTCCGACGTTCCAGATTCACTATGAGAAGGAGCGATTGAAGTGCACGCGCAGCCAGAATCCAAACCCGCTTCGAATCATGAGAACGCATCCTTTCCGCCAGGTAGAAGAAAGGTAGGCATACCTGCTCGGTGGCAACCCCACGGAACGCGTCTCCAAGCCACTCACGGAACGCAGTTTCGCGGCCCCCAAGCTGGTCGCCTTCCCAACCGGAGCGATAGGATTTCCCCCTGTTTCCACGACCAAGAACGAGATTCAAGTCGTCGGAGAAAGAGTCGAGACCAGCTGGCAAGCCTTCACAGGATGCGCCCAGATTCTAACAAAGTCCTTTGAGGAAGGGCAACGAAGAAAACAAGACCGAGACCAGCATCGTCAAAGGAAGCATCGCAGGTCGTTGATGAAACATCCCGAAAGGCCGCAGAACTCGACGTCTGACACACACCGAGAAGCGCAATGGAGAGCCGTATTCCGTTCTGGACCTCAGGGTTGACCAACCCCGCAGAATGCCGCTCGTCTCCGCAGGAAAGGCAACGAATTGACAAACAGCTATTGTCGGACAGAAGTATTGCCTCTTAGTTAACTTTCTCGGAAAGGAAAGATTTCTAAAGTGGCAAAAATCCACCAAGCTGGACGGCTTAGAGGATAGATCCCTCGAATCAGACTAGAGAGGAGTTGCAAGGGGACCGTGGATTTCTCCGTTAGACTGTACCTGCTGCGAGCATGAGGGTGTGCATCAGGCTGGCCGCTGCGCAGAACCGAGGGTAGCAGCTGCTCCCAAGTCCGAACACGCCAAACGCCTTGCCTTTGAGAGGAGACTTGGGGTCGTCGCCTTGCAGGCTCAGCCAAGACAAGAACCTTCGTGAGCGAAACAAGAGCGTCAGTATAAAGCACTGAAGGCCTATTTTCAAGTTGTACAAGATACGGCAGAGAAACTTGAATTCATCGGCTTTGCAGATGATTGAGGGGCGGACCCTTCGTCAAATGATTCAGGAACCGTTTGGTCTGGTAAAGATCTGACCTTTCCAACTGTGAAAGGCGTGAAGGATCACAAAGGCCTGTGTAAAACTGGGCCTATTGGTGTCGAATGTTCTGACAGACTCTCAGCCTGGCACGTGGCAAGACGTCATCGGTTAAAGAAGTGGCCGCTTTCCCAAATCTCTTATCGCAGTGGATATGAGAGATCGGAACTACCTTCGAGAAGAGGATACCTCCTGGGCAACTTCATTTCAACACTTTTATGATCGAAGCGGCTAAAATCGAGTGGCGCAGTTTCTGGGGCTCAAATCACCAGTAGTTAGTCAAGGGGACGCTTCTATCACAGTTTGGTATTGCGGCATATGAATCACCTGGTGGCCGTGGCGGGGGGCGCCCCGGACCCGTATGTCGACGTCACAAGTATGATGACGTCAGAGGCGTTGAACTTGGCGTCCTCATATTCCTTGACGCTCAGGACTTGCACCTTGAAAGGGTCCTTCGTGAGACCGGCCAGCTGCACGAAGAAGCATTAGTCGGTTCAGTCAACTATCAGCCCATCTGTCAGTCGACTGTAAGCTCAGTCGACAGGAATGGAACAGGTGGTGGCGGGTTTGGCTCGGTGCGGGTGCGAGGGATCAGCCCTCTGGTCTACCTGCTTTGAAGTCGAATGCTAAAGGTTCAACGCGCTCATAACTCAATGCATCGAAAAGCATAGAAGCAGCATTAAACTCAGAGCATTGAGGGCAGGACTAGAACAACGAAGTCCATTCTGCTACTTTCCAGGCGACGCATGCCAGGTCAGGGCGAGTCAGAGTCTTCTTCGTTACATTGAACCGGCACATTTGTAAGGATTGTTTTGAGAGGAAGCGGCAGGCCGGGACTGAGCAGCAGTCGAGCGGGATGAAAGGATACGCTTTGCTCTCGAGAGGAGCTGCAGTGGTGCAGGCGGTGTGCGTTCAGACCAGAGGCGCTCAGGCACACGCTTGGGAACCACTTTGCGGACCCAGTCGACCACCCATGCTGTGAAACGTCGCGATATGGCACGCTGTCAAGCTATGCATGTGACGGCGTGCCCTATAGTCTAGGGGACCCTGTATGCAGTCCTCTGACTTCGCTTGCTCGTATCGCTCCAAAGGCTGCACATCATCAACAACAGCCAGCGAAAGACCTTCGAAGTTGTCCCCGATCAGGTAAAGCGGGTAAAGAAAGCTGGTTAGTCGCGTCACACGTCTTACTTGAGAGGCGTACGCCTGTGCGGTCCCGGTGACGGTGGATTAGAGGATGAGCAGGCGCGGCCTCGGCTTTGCGGTATGCATCTTGATCCACGCGAGCATTTTGATGACGTACGGGTTGAGCACCCCTGGGTTGAAGCCCCCGGGGGACCGGTCGAAGTTTGGCCCGAAGTGCGCTTTCGCAAAGTTCAGCCAACCGGGGCCCCCGACATACGCGGGCTGCAGCGTATATTCCGTCGTCTTGCTGAGCCCTAAATAGCAGCGGCTGGTGCTAGAGGCGACCGGCGGAATGACCCACTTCCAGTTGACGGACACGTAGCCGCGCTTCGCCTTCTCTTCCTGCAAGCAAAGGAGAAGGCCGAGGTATCGATCCTTGAGCGGGCTCAGGCTTCGGAATTTGCGAACAAGGCCTACAAAGGCACGGAATTATAGACAGGTTGTCCGAAATTCACCTCTGCTCGTTCAACCAATCCGACTGTTAGAGAGTTGAGGGCCAGAAAGATCACAAAGGCTGTTTTCTTTTGGGAAAGCGGGGCAACATGGCAGCCTACTCCTAAAAGGTACAATTCGGCTATCGACCTGTCCTTCATGGTTTTCTGCTTTTTCTTGGCGATCCAAGTGTCCGAACAAGATAATCTCTGAATGTTTCGAAGGAAGGCCCCATGGCTCAGGACTGAGAGAAAGTTCTTGATTCTTCCGATCGTAGAATGAAGCCATCAAAACCGAACAATTGAAGTTTTCGTCCGCACCTTGAGAACGTCAGAAGGCAAGAGCAGCTCTAGAAACGATAGATCAACTTTGCAGGGGGAGAGGCGGCTCAATCATGCACATGAAGAGGCGGCAAACCGATTCACGCACCGCTTGCCAAACCCAAAACTGTTCCATCAGCGTGTGGTGGTCCGCGATGCCCAATGCTGCCTCTTGGAAGCTGTAGACAATCGCCTGTAAGAGAAGAAAGGCTCTCAGTCACTGGCAAAATCAGAGGACAATGGCCAGAATCTATAGGGCAAGAGGCTCAACGGTGAGGAGGAACAGCACACGGCTCTCACAGTCCTACCGGAACGTTTTGCCGAAGTTTGCATCTTCAAGAGGCTGCGAAAGTATCACGAGACGGATCGGTCAGGTGTTACAAAACTCAAGTTTTACTACAATCACACCAAATATCCCAAGGGAGTTCAGAAACCCCTCGAAGCACACCGAGCACGATAGTAAGAGTGATGCTGATCATCCTAACAAATCGTACTGAGCTTTAGTGAAAAGAGCCATGCTTTGACGCCGAGGTAATTGTCGAATCAAGGGTGCGCTGAATCGCAGTTGGCTTTCTCTTGGTTGACGTAATAGCAGTCTATTAGCCCAGAACTTTGTTGATGCTTGGATCTTCTTCCAACTCAAGCCTCATCAGGAAGTTGGGACCGAAACACCGAAGCACTCTAGCAGAAAGATTCAATCTTTCACAACGTACCTGGTTCAAGACAAGGAGAGCCGCATCCTTCCACAGGTTGCTGTTCTCTGACGTATTGTAGCCCAGGCGTTCGGCAATAAGTGACAGCTTGTTGTAGCGAGACTCGTCGCTCAGATTGCGCAAGATCTCAACGTCGGCATACCTGAAAGGCGTGCACAAAAAATGAAGTTCTTGATGCCGTCTAAGGGAAGGGGGAAGCATCCCGCCTGTCAAGCCGGAATTAAAAGGCAGAGAAGTGTCCTCTGAGGCAGTTTCTTAGCACTTTGAAGCATAACGATCATATCAAGCTCAGGCTGTCTTGGTCTAGAGGCAGGATCCAAGTAGGCCAGTAAGTACGCTTTTGAGTAAGCTTTTGGTGCTCTTGGGGGAAAAGAAACAATGGAAATGTGTTCACATCACGGCACTCCCCAGTTTGTTGTCTAAAACATTTATTGACCGACACCAGGCAGAAAGGAAGACAAACCGTCTGTTCTTCGCTTCCAGAGCGGGGCGATGGCAAGCAATGGCTTTCGACGGCACCGGCAAGGACGCGTGACAAGACTCCTCTGGATCTAAGCTAGCTACGCCTTGGACAAGCCTCGAGCATCCACCAAAACGCCTTCGATCGGTTCCGCTGCCAGCGACACCGGAACAGACGACTTACCAGCCGGTGAAGGGGACGCCCGTGTAGAGGAGCCCCCCGAGGCGCATGCGCATGTTGGAGACGCAGGGGATGCCGTACCATTTGAGGCCCAGGCTGGCGAACCACGTGTGCTGGGGGTGCAAGAAGCGCACCTCCGGGATGTACTGGGGGGGGATCGAGAACATCTTGGGCTCGTCTGTCGGGCTGGGCTGCAGGACCAGGGGAAGAATGTCGAAGTCCGTGCCTGCAGAAGAGGGATGAAAAAGGCTCCAAGCGTGTAACTTCAGAGATTAACGAACTGGTGGATTATTGAGACAGAGCAGTCCATGCACCCGATATGTGCTGTGCGCGCACGAAGGGACTCGCAAACGAGCGAGATCTGACCTGGCGCAGTTTATCCGGAAGCAGAAGCCCGTTAAGAAAAGGTACTCTCCAGGCCGCAAAGGGATTAGCGATTTCACGAAGGAACGGAAGAGTGGGACGTGAGGAAGTTGGAATCCGGAGAAGGTGCGGGGTTTTGGGTTTAATTTAGCTAGACCCTTTTCGCTTCTCCGAAGCGCCTGATACCACTCTTTAGAGCTCGCCAGCCTCAACATATACTACAATACACACCGTGCTATAAGTACGGAAACGTGCCTGAGGACTCTAGAGCTAGAGCGAACTCGATCAGTAGAATATCTCTTTCGAAGAATCTCCAGCAAATCACAGCGGACCAGAATCACCCCCAGAAGCAGACATCGGCAGAAACATGCTATCTTTCGATAGCAGGGCCCCGGAGGGGTGCCAGAGATCCCGTACCTGGTCCTTTCCATCCGAACATCCTGATAAGCATCTCCGTGAAGGCCACCTCCGCAGGGTCCCCCTTGATGCTCATATCAGTCTGCCGATATCCTGAACGACAATTAGACTGCACTTGGGCAGAGCCAGCAAACGTGTTTGACAGCTTCGAGAGAAGAGAATCCCCACTGTCTTGCAACACAGCTTCCTCCTCCCTGACGTTTCCTCTTGACTGGACCCGTTGCATTGACTTTAGAGCCTCTTGAACAAGTCGACTTGCCTGGTCTCTAAATCAAGCTTCCGTGCTCCTGTAACACAGCTGCGAGCCCTGCCATTTGGCGCAAGGAAGCCCACGAGTCTTATTTCTACTTACGCTCAATGGAACCTACGCCATCTTAACTCAAAAACGACCTCAATACCTGCCCCGTACTACTGGTCAAAGAACTGATGCAGGATCAGGCTAGCAAATTCCAGCGATGTCTGCAGCCAAAACCGGCAACTAAATCTGGACAGTCCATGAAAGCAATGAGCAAAAGATACATAATGGCATTTGAGGTGACATTTCCTCAAAATGGAAAGGGCATTCTACTTGATCTCCTGTGAAAATAGCGACTCTGCGAGTCTAGAATGGCAAAAACTCCTTGCTTACCCCTGTTTGTTTCCAGACCAGCTTTGCAACCATACATATTAACATTTGAGTGCTCGAAGCAGAGGTAATTGGCTTGAAGTCCCCAACAGCATGCTGTAGAGTAACTAGTCTCACCGGCAAACCGCATCAGCTGATTGTTCCAAACTCGAGCGCCCCCCTCGTTGGTCAGCGGATGCTCAGGAGGGAACACTGAGATGAAAAGCTCAGTAGCACCAGAGTTGCCAGCCAGTTCAAGCATCTCCAAGCAGGCCTGGTGCATGCCTTGAAACAAAACAGTGGACGGACAGAGTTCAGATCGAACCGTGGCAATGAGAACTGTTCTCTGCCAGTGTTGCGCAGGGCTAACCAGCTCGTCTTGCAAGTCTAGAGAAAGCTGAGAGACAACAAAGGAAACAACCTGTGGCAGTATCTATCTCTCGTAAACTGCGAGATGACCACCAATTCTAGATGCTTGAGGCCTGACCCCGAACTCTCACCTCAGCCGTTGTAACATGCCGCTTGTCGCGCAACTGAATGGTGTCCCAGAACTTTCTGTTGGAGCACTTGGGGGCGTTCCTCCAGGATACTCGCGCCCCTGCACGAGATTTGAGATGCATTAAGCAGCAGATTGCTGAAGAGTGATACAACGGTAGCTGGTTGGGTGAAGGAGGGGTCAACCTGACGTTGATATGGCCCTTTCAGAGCAGGGACCAGAATACCCATATATCAATGCCACAACTGAACCCAAGTCCTTGCGGTAGCTTTTCTTACTGACCTGGTGCTTCTGCCACTCACATTTATAAGCTGAATATTTTTAGGGTTCAAGCCAGGTTCAAGCAAGATCCCAGAAGTAATCTCCATGTTGAACTATGACTGATCTGAGACACGCAGTCGGCGTACATGTCATTGACTGACCTCTACGTAGCAGGGGCTTACCATTGCTCGGAATGGATAGAAATCAATCTTTCGAGCAGAGCTGCTTTTTCTTGGTGAGACTGGTGCAAGTGCGTTGACATAGTAGGCCAGAAATTGCTGCTTCCCATTGGCTTGATCAAAGATTTTCTCAAAGAAAGTTCCATATGATGTCACCAGATTCACCAGGCTGACTCTGAGCTAATGTATCTGTGTTGTGCATTATGCTGAAAACTTGCTCTGAATCCTTTCAGGCAGGACGGTTTTTAAATTAAGGGAAACAGATGCTGACCTTTGTACCAGTCTATCAGACATCTCTATGGAGTTTGCGTGCAAATGCCTAGTCTCTTCAAAGTCAATGTCGTGTATGTTGCCTATTGTGTTGCTCCACAAGGTTTACAGTGTAATGCTCACCATGCTGCAGCTCGTCAAAGGTGTGAGAATACGTCCCTGTTGCCTCAATGGACTCTAAAATCTCCTTGATCCTGGCAGCCTTGACCTCCGGACTGGAGTGGAATTCCTTGTGAAAGAGGTCCTGCAGTACACGGAAAGAAAAGCACAGGTTAGTTCCCGTGCCCAAGGCCCTGTCAGCTATGGACAATCTCAGAACTCATTGCTAAAGATGAGCTGAATGAACAACTGCTTTGGCAGGACAATTTCTTCCAGCAGACTGCTTCATGCATAGCCATCTCTGAAGCACTCAGCGAGTGCAAATGACGTATATCCAATTCACTGTAGATCTTTTTCATGAACAAGGCTGCTGCCATTCAAATTGTGGAAGCCTCAGGACCCACAGCAAAGCTAACTGACAGTAATGCATAATTAGGCAGCCCTAATCTTTGCAGTTATAGGCAAGCAAGCACAGGCAACCGCACATGGGTTTCATGCTTCTGTGACAGTGTACCTGATACTCCACTGCTTCACGAATCAGCTTCTACTTTGGGGTCTCGTTCTTGCCGACGTCAAGGGAAGGCTTGCACCCCGTGGGACAGATGGTTGGGTTCTTCCCATGGACATATCCTGCAAGACATGGAAGGTTGGCATTTGCAAACTGCTTCTGATGTCAGGTCTACTTCTTCGGAGATCCAGTGTCACTTATCTTGTAGGTGTTTTTAAGTGTACAGGAGTATGATTTCGAAGAGGGCAGCCCAACATTAGCATTCAAAAGCCTTTAACAGGGGACTTCTTGAGCAAGCTTTGGATCTGAAGGCATTATCCAGAAGAGTCTAAAACTTTTGGACAAAGTCAATGTCCAATACTTGAGTTAGCTCTGAAGAATAAAAGCCACTACACTTCAGTCTGTTGGTAATGCCTTGGCTCTAATAAGAGCTAAGCATATGGTCCAACCTTGAAACTTTCACACAAAGATTTGAGGGGGCAGAAAGGATTGCCGCACCTGGATACGGAAAGACACCCACACTGCCATGAGCAAATGGACATTTTGAGACGTTGGCAAACTGCGCTCCTCCATTTGCATGATTGTGGTGCTGCTCCATGTGAGCTGTTTGAGGCTCAGGGTGTACACTCTTTGCAGATACAGCTGGGGAAGTCCCGTTCATGTGGGGCTCAGCGGACACCATGCTGGCAGGCGCTGCAACCAGACCAGGCATGCCATTGGAATGACTTTCTGAAAGTGCTTCGGCAGGCCCCCGTCCGGAACAGATACCCATATTGTGGTGTCCAGCTCTCGTTGTCTTGTCTGTTAGTCTGGCAGCAGTCGGAGCAGTGCAGAGAGAAGCGCACAAAGTGACCCTTCACTGGTGCTCCTAGTCAAGAGATCTTGCTCTTAGAGCTCCTACAGAACCTACAACTTGACTCCAGCTACTTTCCTCAAACCAGTGAAAGGTGGAGCGCTCAGCTGTTGAAAGAAAGACCGTTGGTCCCTTTTGTGTATGAGACAGGGACAAACCAGGAGAGAATGCCAGTAGCAGCGACGTTCCGTTCTTACCTGATCCACTTTACTCCTTGCAGATTTTGTGGCGCAGGCGGCAGCTAGGCATCCCTGCGTCTTCCAAACAGGCGAGTCACTTCTCTCCTCGCGCCTGCAAGTGGGTCTTGTGTTACGGTAGCCTAAATTTTAGGTGTGCCTCTAGCTGAGAGGATAGGTAGCTATGTATGTACTATGTACACTGTACAGCCTACAGTAGTGGTGCCATTTTGCAGCTGGAAGAAACCTGACCGATTCCCGGCAGACTCCACTGGCACTGGCAGAGTCTCGGGGTACGTACCTACACACCTAATGGGTTGCTGTCAGGTGTGCAGTGTTCGACTACCGTAATTGGGACGACGCACCAAGAAAAGTTGCAGTTTCGACGTCAATCGGTACGACAATTGTTACCCGGTTTATTCTACCGAGGAACATCAGCAAACGTTGTAACTTGCATGTACCCGTACCAATTGTCCGGTTGGGCAACAATTAAATATATTTTGACTTGCCCAAAAATCTGAACTGAAAATAAATTCCAATCAAGGATTTGCAGACCATTTCGCCCCGTTAAAAAGCAAAATAAATGCATAAAATGCTAGGCGGTGTCCCTCCTAGCCCATTTTGATTTTAGTCAAACAGTACAGTACTAGTAGTAGGTGGTCGGGGTAAAACAGGGCGGACGGATGCGGACGAGCACAATGCCGGGTCGGCCGGAGGAAAACAGAACTGTTCGAAAGGTTGTATTCGTCGAACGCTGCCCCTCGATGTCTAGAAC